TTCATACAGTTTATTTCACTAGACTGAAATTTTATACACAATATGAAGGGGTTTCCTGATAGCACGCATATAGTTTACTTCCTGTACTGCTGAAGAACCAATTTTTCTTTTTATATTATCTCATAATACCCTATCATTAAAACATTATTCAGTGAATTTTTTCCAACTACATATAAATGGAGTTTTACCACACACGGTGCAAGAATGTCTTTATAACATATTTGAATCACAAAATGTGAATCTAAAATACATCACTGTAATTAGAATACTACTTTAAAATTACAATGCCCCATGTTATATTAGCCAGATTTGAATAAGCTCTGTATACATCACAAAGCAGCCTGGTGGATAACTTCTTAGATAACTGGCAGCAGCTTTGAACTATGATTTCAAAAAAAAAATCTTTAAGAATCAATATTTTGAATTTTGCAAAGTTCTTCTTTTATGTATCCAACATTCTCAGAATTAAAATGGGACATTAATAAATTTATAGTCTCTGAAACAAGGAGAAGTAATCTAACCCTCCCTTAGCTGAAAGGTGAGGGTTGTAATATTAGGTTTTGTAGAAACCTAAGAAAAGTATTGTATAGGGAGTGGAAATGAGTTATAAAGAAACATAAACCTTCTTTAAAATGCTTGATTCCTCTGCCCTGCCCATCTCTGTCCAACATAGAGAAAGAATACTGCACTACAAATAAAGACTGTCTCCATGAAATGGTGTTCTAAAGAAAATGTATGTAAACAAGTCAGAAAGATTTCCTCATTTTTCTATTTTGTGGAGTGGGGCAGTGGGATGATATCAGTTAAATAAGAAATAGAAGTCCTTAGTCAAAGAACCACTTCATGACACACAAAGAGCTCGAGGTAATTGCCGAGCACCTCTCATGTGTGTCCTTTCTTTCTCCCAAAGTTTGAGAATGTTTGAAAGTTCAATAAATAGTAGAAAAATAATCCTTTACTTAGAAATTTTGAGATGCATCACTTAGAGCTTAACATGAGTTCCATACAGCAATTGTGGTATCCAGGTACCGCTAAGAAACCAAGTGAAATCTTCAAAGCACACATTTCTATCTGGATGTGCCACATTCCCAGGCTCCGGGCGAGCCCATTTTTCTCTCTTCCAGTTAAGGAGGGCCCAACGCTTCTGGCTCCTTGGAACATTCCTCTGGCTCAGCTTAACGATTCCCAATGTTTCATTTATAGGTTTCGTTTCTCTGTTTGGAGGTTTGCCTTCTGTTCCATTCCATTAGTATTATGGCAGGTTCATAAATCAGGCTTTTTTCTCCTCCGTTTCAGAACCAGCCACCCATTTTCACAAATATGATTTTGTTGTTGTTCCTCTTGTTCTGAAACATGTTACCAGGCAGGAAATGAGTTAAAGCATTCTGGACAAAGCACAAGTACAGGGGGTCTCTTGCTGTGGATTTTACGCTGGCTCTTCTTCCCTCCAGAACATTCTGTGTCTCCTAGATCCCGTCTTCTGACAGAGGTGAGGAGACTGTTAGCATTCAGCATCGACAGTGTGTACTGTCACAGCCGCCTGTAGGTGGTGGCTGTGATGAAGCGTGGGGTGGTGTAAGCGGTAGTGGTGAAACTTGTGGCTTAGGAGGGCAGCAGTCTGAGGTGGGGTGTCCAGGTCTAAGTCCTCATCATGGTTGCCCACATCCACCCCTGCGGACAAGGGGTCATTGTTGCCCGGAGGATTTTCGCTGTCTTCCTGTGGGCTCATGGTACTGTAACCTAGAAAATGAACAAACAAATAAGCAGCTGAGAGTTTCCAGATGCAGGGAGGAGATGGCACTTAAGATTTCCAGGGCACTGGGAGGGCTCCTATCTTTGTGCTACATGGGTGCAAATGTTTGCAGGCTGTCAGCAGATGTTGAAGTGACTTCTTTTTAAAGAGATCTGTTAGTAACTGCTTTTTTCTTAAAACGACTACACAGTAAATAAATCATTTTAGACAACTGAGAAAATTGAGGTAAGAAAAAAATATACAACGGCCTTTCTCCCAAATCAACAGAACTGAAACTAAAACCACCTTACATTCCATCTGACCCATAAATAACCACGACTGACATTTGGGAACTACCCTCCTACATTTTTCCCCTGATATAAGATTAGACTATATTTTATCTTAAAAAAGGGGCAGCTTCAAGAAAAAGATCCTAGTAGGACGCAGATCAGTTGGGGGCTGGTGGGCAAAGCTGGGCTTCAAAGGACTGAATGTGACGACACTGAACAAAAACAACTGCCATCATTCTCTGCATACCTGCTTCATGACACACATGAGTGTCATTAATTCCTGCACACCACAGAGGCCTGTATTTTAATACCCACTTTACAGGTGAGGGTAAGGATGATAAGAGAGGTTAATGAGCTTGCCCAAAATTCCAATACCTAATGGAATGCCAACTCCACATACCCACAGCAACTGGCAAAGGCATCAACTATTCTGTGTGTAAGCTGGCTCACTGTATTTAAAGATTAATTTCCTTTGGTATTCTAAGTATTATATGTTTCAAAAGAAAATGCCCTTGCTGATCAAAGGATTCCATTCCGAGAACTCTGGCATGTTTTTAAATATTGCAAAAATACCCTTTAACAATTTTGAGAAGTGATGGCTCATTAATATTGCGGCTGCATCCGCAGTTAGCATCAATCAGCTCTCACCTGGGGTAGTGTGAGTCACGTTTGTGGCTGCAAATCTGATGTGCTTGCACACAGCCATGCAGGAGTAGCCTGTGGTTTGAAATGTATGTCTGTGCAGAAATGAGAAAAGGCACTTCTCTGTCCTCAATGAAAAATTTCTCAAATGACAGAATCATTTCAGTCAGTCCAACTTAACATTTATTGGGCGCCTACTATGTACACAACACTATGTTGGGCATTGCAGGAGACACTGAGATGAAAACCTGTTCCTGCATAAGGAACTCAAAAACTAGTGCTTGAGAAATGAAACAAGGACAAGCATAGGTCAGTGCACTTAGTCTTTACTGAAGACCATTATGGGGCAGGAGGTGTGACTATGAAACATGAATCAGAGATGTCTCTATTCCTTAAGAATTTTACAACCAAGTATGACACATATTCATGAAGCTAGCTTAGTCTAATGCAGATAGTGGTAAGTGACTCAACTGAGGTATAACTGAACAGGGAATAACCACTTCTGGCTGGAGGAATGGAAAAAGGTTCACAGAAGAACTCACATTTTAACTTCTGCTTAAATGGAATAGGAGTCTGGTAAGTGGATATGATCAAGAGGACAAAGGAGCACAACACAGAGGTGTGAAACCTAAGGCCAGTCCTGCACCACATGGCTAGAAAGCTAGCAGGGAGCTGGAGAATAGGGAAGGTGAGCTAAAGTCAGATCATAAAGGCTATGTCAAAGCTTAGAAAATGGAGATAAAACACAAGATTTTAAGCAGACAGAAAAAAAATGGCAGGACTATTTCTGTGTTTTTAAAAAAGAGTTCTGGTAGCAGTTTGGAAGATGAATATAAAGGCCTGGGGGCAGGGGTGGGGGGCAAGTTAGGAGGTTTTTGCAAGAGCCAACATGAGAGATGAAGAATTAAAACTAGGGTATGGGATTGGACAGACTTAAAAGATATCTCAGGGGTGAAAAGAGTGGAAGTTGGTTAGCATTTAGAAGTGCGGGGTGAAGCATGGTTAGAGGGGACTGTGGCTTTGAGGCAGGATCATGAGAGAGGGAGACTCAAGAGATCCTGAGTCTCAGGGAAGAAAATGAGTATTTTTGATTTTGACAGTCTGTGGGTCATGTACGTGGAAATATCTAGCCAGAAATGCAGGTGTGTTGGGCAGAGAGAGAGATTTCCGTCGTGGATGTGTCCACCAGGGTGCCTTCCTGGTGCCAGGGATAGGCTAGCAGCTCAGCAGAGGCCCCAACTCCTTAGACACCCACAGTCAAGAAGTGGAAATACAGGGGCTAAAACAGAGGCCTACCAAAAGGAACAGCAAAGCTGACTGACTTGGCTTAGGACGCTTGAGGAGACGGCCTTCAGGTGGCCCTCATGGGAGAGAAGAGGCTCCTTAGGCAAAGAAAAGGTAGGAAGGGACTACAGGGAGGGAGCTAAGCTATGCAGGCACAATAGCCTGAAAGGCTCTAGTGGACGGGGGCCATGATGAGAGGCTTGGGGCGTATGTGTTGAGGGGCAGGGAGTGTGGGAGAGGTGGCCATATAGGCAGGCTCAGATCAAGGCCTGTCAAAGCTGAGTTTGGATTTAGTAACAGGAAAGGAAGGGAGTGGGTGGCAATGACATAACGTGTGCTTTAAGATGACGTCTTGTGGTAATGAGGAGGCTGGACAGAAGAAGGGAGGGATCAGAGGCTCAGGATGGGGGGCTGGAGCATTGGACTGAGGAGATGGACTGCAGCAGTGTTTCAGTGGAGCAAGCAGCCGGCTTCAAGTGACTTTGTTCAAGAGCAGAGCAGGCTGATTTGGGGACCAAAGGGACTTGTTTAGTGAAGATGCCCGGAAATTGACATCCTTGGATGAGGCTGATATTTCTAGGTCCAGAGGCTGGGGAAATAGTGGTGCCTCTAACTGAGATTAAGAGCCAGAATGAGTTTCTCAGCTTTGGCAGTGCTAAGGCTGCAACGTAAGACTGGACACTAGGCTCAAAAACCTGTTACAAGATGCTATGAATGCTTAACCCACCTTATGCTTTACATGTAGGGGACTAAAGTAGAAAAGGTTTTAGCAAAATCTCAGTGTGTTGAGTACTTTTGGCCAAGCTTTAGTGCTAGGCTGTCTTCATCTTGCCTCCAAACACCTCCTTGATGGTTTCCATCTCTGATTTATAAGTACCCACAGTAACTAGTAAATGTTCACATTTATGATGTAGAATTCATAGTGGTCTTCTGCCTAGCTCATCCCCCAACCTTTCTTCACCTTGCTGTTGTGTTTCTTCTTCAACATGGAAGTCTTCTCTTCCCCCAACGCTTTTCCCAACCAACCCCTACCTCCTAGTCCTACCAACCCACATGGTTGAATTTAAATGGCATTCTGTACACATCTTCAGCTTAGACTTTATCATATTATAATAAAATATAGGGCTGTCTTGTTCATTAGCAAACTCTGTCTTAAAGAACAAGGAATTACTTTGTCTTCATACTCCTAATATTCAATATGATGTCTCACACAAAGAAGGAATTAAAAAAAATCACACACTGTAGTCCCAAAGCAAGGGCATTGATGAAATTTTTTTTGTCTTAGTTATCTGTAGTTTTGTCTGGTGTGCACTTCCCAAGTCTTATCATATAATGAAGATGTTGTAGTATATACTGGGCCCTTCCCAGGGGTTCTGACTTTGAGTCCAGGGATGCTCGAACCCAGCTAGTCACAGCCCAGGGTGGTGGTGATGATTCAGCTGTCACCAAGGCAAGTCAGCCCCCCCATCTCTTCTGCTACAGCTTCCTGATGAGAGCCCCAACAAAGGCCCTTCCAAAGTGAGCCTCTTGCTCTGGGGCCATTCTGTCTAATTTCCTGAGAGGGTTACTACTGCTCAACCCTCTGCAATTTAGGTTTCCTCTAATCTCAATAGCTAATAAAAATCTGGAGGGAGCGAGCAGCAAGTTGTGGTGAAGCAGGAGAAAGCCAAACACATGCTCTCACTTAAATGAATGACTATTTACTCAGGGCTAGGCAATTCTGTTGAGCGCTGGGAACAGTGATGAGTACAACAGACTCAGTCTAACTCATGGAGGATGATGCATTATCTAAAACACAAAGTATATTCATAAACACTTTCAAAGGAACAATTTCTTTACTGTCCAAATGTGTACAGTAAAATCTCTGCAAAGCTGATCTCAAGCAAGAAACGGACTTTGGGAAGGAGGACAGCTGTCTAGTAAGAACAGAAGAGCCAATATTAGGCTTTTGCTCTTTGGTATTCTGCTTATATACTTAGATGCCTCCCTCGATGGTAGGGGATGTTAAGTTTCTCTGGGGACTCACCACCTTGTGGTCACAGAGAGTAACTGCAGGAGAACATCTGCACCTCTAGAAAATGGTCTTGTGCTGCACTGTGTCATGTTTGATCAGCTTTTCAAGGTTCAGCACTCACCTTTTAAGTCTTCTGGAAGTTGATTCACTAGGGGGAAATTTCCTTTTATATAAAGAAACAATTTTGATTGGTATACATTTGCATAAATTGCTAAAGAGATGGTAACCAAGATACAGATACACAAAGAACAAATATATATTTGTAATTTTAACTTTAAAATAAGCCAGTTGATGATTAGGTAGAACATGGTATTTTCAAGATAAATCATGGGAAAAGTGGACACATAAGTAAAAACATGGATAGGTAATAACTGTTTTAAACTACTGCTTGTGAGTGTAACAGTAAATAGCCGAGTGCTAAAAAAAACAATAATTCTAAGTGGTTTTAGAATATTGACAAAAATGATTCTACTTTTAAAAATTGACTCTGAGTAGTTTCCTTTAAAGATACAAAATTAAAATTAGATGCCTTACTACGCTGATGGACAGTGACTATAATAATGGGGTATGTGGTGGGGACTTGATAATGGGGGGAATCTAGTAACCACAATGTTGCTCATGTAATTGTATATTAGTGATACAAAAAAAAATTAGATGCCTTTGAAATACAAAACTCTTTGTTGGCCACATGAAATATATCTAAATAAAAATGCAGCCTAAAGTCTCCCACCTTAGACTGGTAACATGCAGTTTTAATTATAGGACTATCACAACTTGGAATCATACACCATGTAAGTCTATTCTCTTCAGTACATATATATTTATATATTTTATCCTTCTGAGTTCCCTTTCGTATATTCGACCCAAGGACTCATGTGGAAATATGCTCACCAGCTAAAAAAGAACCATGGCTGCTACTGTCCTACCAGTCCAAGGGCCAGCACCAAGGCCACCTCCCCACTGGGGTCTTCCATGATTTACCTGCTGATAAAAGTGAACTATCTCCCCATCTTCTTCTTTGTTCTGCTCCTTTAAAGAAGCTGTTATATTCAGCTTTTTATCAGTCTAATGAATACATGCATTCACTTACAGTTTCCTGCAAGATTGTGAATTCCTGAGGGCAGAGAGGGTATGGAGGTGAGGAGGTCGACCCTGAACTCGTGCCTGCCACATGTAATTTCATCCATTCCTCACAACAACTTGACCAGGCAGGAAATTCTAATCCTGTTTTAATTATGAGGAAACTGAGGTCCAAAGTAGCTTCACTAAAGTCTTACAATTTGTAAAGAGGGGGAGAGGTGGGATTCCAGTGAGCTCTGCTTGACCCTATCATATAAGCTCTTCTAACACAACATTGCCTTGCAGAAATGAGGCCTCCTCTTCCCCAGCTCCCTGCACTGTCCCCAGCAATTAGCAGACCCCCGATAGTCCCCCGATAGGAGAAAACACAAATAAGCAAGAGTCCTGCTGACAAAACAATTAGGTTAGATTTGTTTTAATGTGTACCTTTGGCTTATTCTCTAAGCATCACAGGGACATTAACTCGATGCCCACCACTTTCTGTGACCCACCATACAGGTTAGGGATATGACAACATGCAGGTAAATGCAAGACATTTTGTGGTGCATCTAGAATCAGGTGGAATGTCAATTATCTTCTACTTCTTTTGGTGTTGCATTCTGTCTGCATGAGAAACTATTTTTCATTCCTTGGGGATAACGGATGCACTTATCGTGAAAAATAAAAGCAAGCCCTTAGCTAGATTCCTTGGCTTTCAGATGCGACACTGCACTGTTCCTTTCATCTAAGCTCTTGCTTCATATGCTATTTTACTAAGACAATGGGAGAGCTAATGGAACATGGTAAACGTCACTCAGAATTCCAGTTTTTTACGGAAGCAATTTCTATTGGGGAGAATGAGGGAGAGGGAGAGGGAGAGGGGGAGAGGAGATTCAGTATTTCTGCTGAATAAGAAATTATTTCTGCTGAACTTCAGTAGCTCAAACCTGTTTCATAATTCAAAGGAGAAGAGACACAGAACTGCCTGGCAGAACGAATTTATGCAGGTTCAAAGGTTTTTAGGGAAACAGGCAGAAAGTCAGAGAAACTGAAAAATATAAGTTCTGCTTTGACTCTCCACAGAAACCCGAAGTTTCTATTCAGTTGGTGCAATCACTCAAAGCTCAAATTAAGAGTATCCATTTATAAGTGGGAGTTTTAGCTTCTCCTGTTTTCCAAGGGGAGTTTGACTATGTGGCCTTCGTGTAAAAGATGACGTTGGTTGCTTTGATGAATAACCAACCACTCCTGCGTTTTTTTAGCCTGGATGTGGGAACACATTGTTCAAAGACACACTTTTTTTTTTCAGGGTAGATGTGGAGAAAGCAGAGTCAAAAGGCATACATAAAATATATATGCATTAAAAAAATCCAATTCTGGGAAATAAAAGACTCCTGGAAAATTAAGGTTATATGTAAAATAAAAAGACTTTATAGTTATAGGAAAGGTTCTACACTCTTGTTATGTTTTTGTGGTCTGGTGGCAGGGGTGCCTAGACAGGAGACATCTGCTGCTCAGTGTGACAATAAGCCATATGGACACTGTGAAGGTGAGAAGCTGTGTGGTGACCAGGCCTTTGGTACAGCATCTGGACTTCATAAATCATAGCTCATGTAGCACTCGATGCCTCTTCCCAGTTCAGTTCGACCCTTCCTGAGCAGCTTCATGCAACTCCATGACCATACACACTAGCCCCCTCGCTCCTAACTTTTTTTTAGTCATCCTTCAAAGCCCAGTGCAAAAGTCGTCTCTGGCGAAGCCTTCCCTGAGGTAAGGCTGGGGATCGGGGCCGGGCATGCTAGCACAGAGTACTGGCTGAGTACACGGCTGAGCACCCTCCAGATGCTGCTGTTTGCCAGCTAACAACGTTGGGTAGTGGGATCTGTGATGCCAGTTCACTGAGAGTCAAGTAGGGTGGTAAGCAGGGCCCATGTAGATAGTCTGAATCCTTATTTGCGGAGAAAACCTAGGAAGCATCTGTGTGCCCAGGGTCATCTCATGCTGGCAGTGCAGAGACATAAGCAGAACTACCCTTGAGATCTTCTAAAGGTGTCACGTTGGAAGGTGTCTTTTTGGAAAACTGTCAAAATAATTTATCACAGCAGACAACAGGAAAGAGAAAGAAGGGTGGGGGTGAGCACTGGCCCACAGGAGTGCACCAGGGATCTCCGGTCCTCACATGCAGGAAGCTAACCCTTACCGTGATCACTTTCTGTTCCCGATCGACCCCAGTAGCGACGCCGCCTTTCTGGACTGTGTGCGTGTCGTTCAATGACTGCAGCTATAAATCGAGTATTGCTGACTGTGGGAAGGCAAGGATGGTTAGTCATTCCTATGCCCATATCCTTAGTGTATCAAGTACATCCACACTGAGCAGGCTCATTCACACGGTGGGGAAGTTAATCTTTGGAGAGCTAGAGTAAGTAATTTTTTAAAGATTCTGAGGATTAGAGAGCTGGTTTTAGAACTGGGAGCAGTAAGGGGTCTTTAATTACATGTCTTTAACATGAATGAGGAAGATATATGCTCTATATAGCTGAAGGCCAAGGTATCTCAACACTGGAAGGATCCTTGATAAAGGAATGTTCTTTATATCCCTGAGATGTATACACTGCTTAAGGGACTAAAACAATGCATACCTGATGATTCCCTTTCTACAATACTGTGCTGGAAAGCAGTGAAGAGCAGAAAGAAAGGGAAGAGTCGGGTGTTTTAGGCCACAGCATGCAAAAAGAACATCATGAAATCCTTTGAGATTTTCTAAAACAAAGCAAACACCTACACTTATTCCTAATGAAAATGTGGGGGCAGGGGGATGTCAAAGCTGTCATGTCAAAACTTCTTAAATTTTAATACAAGTCAAAAAGATATAAGTAAGCATATTCATCCTGGATTAGCCTCCTGCTGACACATTCTGCGACGAGGCAGCCTGATACTCACTGATGCCTCTGTCTTCGTGGCTGTCGTCGTCCCTTTCATCTCTGTCATTCTCCAGGTTGGACATACGCACTGACATTTCTACCCATCATTAAAAAAAGAGAAACATGACTATTTAATCAAACAAAACCACCCACTTTAATACCCTGCAGAGTGCTCTGCTTGATGGCTGGTGACAGCATTCCATTGAGAATGAGTCCTACCTTGGAAAAGAATGGATGTCCCATTCATTCATTCATTCATTCATTCATTCATTCATTCATTCAGGAGGAAGCAGGAATCAGAAGAGGGAGAACAAGAAAGGCATAATCAAGAGAGGCACCTGAAACTGATTTCTGAAGAAAGAAGAAAAAATAAGTTGATAGGCTAACAGATCTTTAATCTTCTACTAAAGTACCTGAAACGGAAAGAAAGGGTCTAAAACCATGGCTGACTATGCTGATAAAATGGTGTTACCAAATCCTATAAAGGGCCAGGCATAAGGTAACACTAGATGACAGGCATCATCGGTATAACCAAATCTTACCAAGGGGAGTTTTGTGATTAGCTCTGTTACTGAATCAGGTGACATTATCCCATGATCCCCCATTAGGACTGGGCCATAGTGAAATACTCCAATGTCAGCCTGTCATTATTGCTGCGAGGGTGACCTGAGTGGCTCCTGATCAAGTCCAAGAATGAGTAAGCCTTACCTCCAAGAAGGGCAGGTTAACTCGGGGCTTTTAGTGAGGGTGGGGATGGCCATTAATGATTTTGTCCCTTACAAATGAGCCCAAGTTCCCATTTAATTCTTGGTATGAAGGTATGGTTACAGATTAATCAATTTGTACCTGACTTTGATTACCTGCCCTGTTTCAAGAGATGTGATTATTCCTTTGAACGTGAGTTTGTTCACACTATATGGTAACAGCTGCTACAGAACAGAGTCATGTTCTTGTCAACAGTGACCTGGGGTGTCTTTGGTCTGCTTGGCTTTTTGGAACAGCACCATCCAGTCTTAGTGAACATTTCCCACATGCATCCCAGCTCCCCTGATGGCCTTATTCCAGTGGCAGGCTGCCACCAGCTAAAGCTATGTAAGGAGAGAGGATTGAGGGACTTTCTGGGGTATCAAAATGGTGCTTGCAGGGTTTACACACTCAAGAATGAGCCCTGGGCTAACAGGCTTTGGGGACACCTGAATCTGCCCCACAGAAGCTGAGGGTGGACTGCTGTTCTTCGATGGCTTAGTGGCTCACACAATTGGCCAATGTCCCTCCGTCCTTGCAACAACCCCAGGAGGCTGCTTCTCCTGGAGGCCCTCTGGGATTCATTTTGAGCTTACCTTGGGCGGCCAGAGGAGACATGTGCTGGTGGCTCCGGCGGTGGATCCGGTGGCGGTAGGCGTACACAGCAAGGACCAGGACCATGGCGCACCCCATGATGCCCCCAGCTACGGGGCCCACCGGCGCGCTCTTAATCATGTTCAGGGCGACCACCTCGTCACCTTCATTGAAATAAAAAGCTTTCCCAGGTTAGGAGGCAGGGCTGGGTGAGATGGGAAGGAACAGAGGGGAGGAGTTTGGTGAAGGTAAGGAAGAACACCTGCTTCAAGCTGTGAGTTCCTCACAGACGACCTGCTGGCACGTAGGAGTAATGACTTCCCTAATGCCTGGTTCTCAAACTAAATTTTGGTTGTGCAGTAGAGCAAGAGCGCAACCATCAAGGGCTGATGATACAAGTGAGGAGACGAGAATCACTTCAGCAGGCGGTGCCCAGAGCCTAATCCCTGGGGCCCGGGGCACTCTAGGAAGGAAGTCAGTAGTATGAGGGAGGGCCATGCGGGCCTCTTAGCACATATTTACTGCACCTGTTGCCATTTGTTTCACTGGATCAGTCACATGACCTCTAAAAAGGATCATATTTCAAAGCTTATGGGTTCCCTTTAAAACACTAGGCAGAGTGTTTTTGAGGTTTTGGGGTCTGATCCCAGAGGAGTTTCTCCCTACAGTGTCTCTGTCACCCACCCTATGCTGCCCTGACTACATTGGAAAGCTCTGGTTTCTGTTGACCCCCAAGGCCCTAAAATACTGATTTCTAGTCACACGGCTTCTACCTTGCAAAAGTTGTGAGGGAAGGTTGCAGCAGGAAATCCATGCGTAGTGATCACTCCATCCAGCACCTACCCTCCACTTCTGACAGTTGGGACTTGTACTGAAACAAACTCCACAGTTCAGCCACATGGAAATCAGGCCCAGTATTTCTCACAACAAGCTTTATGGGAATGAATTCCAGGCTTGCAAAATTTGGCAGGAAAAATGGCTGCTCACTCTGCACAGAATATCTAGCCAGCTTTGAAAGTAATTATCTGTCTTGGTTTTCTAACTAAAAACTACTGGCAAAGGAATCAAGGATGTAGGGCAGAGGATCATTTAAAGATTTTTGTCCTAGTATACAGGCAGGAAAATATGTGTTCAGGAGTCAATATAGTCTGGGTTCCCAACAAACATACCTATTGCTCCCATGTCATCAACATAAGGACTTTTGGCTCCCACAATCCCCCCGAAGCATTCTTTCTGGGGTGCACAGTAGGATTTGTCCAGGTGAGTCTTTCCATCGCTGTCCACCATGCACCATTCACAATCCAGCACACCAAAACAGTCCCTGCCAGAAAGACAATGCTAAGTGTTCCAGACAGAGTGCTGGGTAATGGAGAGCATGTGGGCTTAGCACAGACAGCTCTAAAGAGCTCATAACTTAAGTGGTACTGTAACTCCTTAAGCTTTAGTTTCCTTTCCTTATAAAAGAATAGCAATAGTTTGCCAAGGGAGGGTTGCTTTATGTCCCTCAACCACTTGAAATGACAGAAATAAAACTGCTCTCTGTGAATCAAATCACGAAACCCACATTAGTGCAGGATTATTCAAAATCATCTTAAAAGACCAAATGGCCCCAAGCTTTGTAAGACTCTGGCCTACTATCCCCCAAGTGTATGATCATTTAAAAAGAAAGAAGGAGAAAAATGGTCAAATTAGTCTAGGAAAAATTGGTTAAGTCAAACAGCTTTCCTTACTGTCAATTTCTTAGACCTTTTAATATGCTGAGTGCATCATGACTAAGAAAATATATACAGCTGTATTCCATCTTAATTGACTTTGGGTTATGTAACAACTCAAATTAATTTGATTCCCTACCACTCCTTTCTAAAATGTATACTGTAGGTGGAACTGGCTTCCCCTTCTACCCACTAACTCTATTTAATAAAACGGTAACTTGGACTACAATAAACAAATCTCCCCCACTCCCACCCTTTAGCCTACCTCAGCCACTACTCCCATGATGTCTAGTCCCAGATACCCTTGGAGGGAGGGGAAGATAGCAGGGGACATGCAATTTTTAGTTCTCAAAACTGCCACAAAGCATATATTCATCCTAGGAAGGAACTGATGGGCTTTAATGTTTCATACATAGACCGGGTTTTGTTTCTGGAACCGATGAGTACTTTTTCATGCCATGTTCCCTCCCATTCCTTTTATTTCAAGAATAACTTTCCCATCCACAGAGAAGGTTACCAACTTGGTACAAATGCCAAATAGCTAACAAGTAGAAACCAGACAACATGAAACCTGGAGGATAAAAGGTTTATGGAAATCAGTTTTGGATCTGAAAAACTGGTCCATCTTTTTAAAAGACCATGGTAAGTATCACCTGGAAAAGCTCAGTGAGGCTGCTGGTCACTATTCTAGGTTCTGCTCCCACTGCCTATTAAGTTGACATATAATGAGCACTGGGCACTGCTTACCCACTTTCCATCCTCTGACTGCACCTGCTGTTGACACACTGGTGAAGAGCATCTTGCAGGCCAGGGTCGATAGCTGTGTACGTCACTGGCTCCTGGTGAACCTCGCAGCTTGGATTTCTATGCAGGAGCAAGCCTGGGGGTTAGGACCAATAGCACCCACATTCCAAACTCATCATGCCTTTGGCATCTCACAGTATCAGATTTGGGTTTGAATCTTGGCTTTACCACTTAGCTATATGAAACCTTGGGTTTCTGAGCTTCAATGTGTTCATCTTGATGTACAGTAGAAACAATATTCAAGAAGTTAGGAAATCATAAATACTCAACAAAACAGGAATGTATATAATCAAAAGTGAATGTTACACAGGCACCGACCCTCCGTGCCCCCCACTACTCACCATCTTAAATCTTATTTTTCAGAGTTCACTGAGGGTCTTTTTATATATTTTTTCTGTGCCTAAACAAACATGTACTAGTATATGTGTACACACAAGATTGTTTCATTGAAGTTCTAGAGAAGAGACAGCAAATTTTATTTAACTGTGGTCTTAAAATTTGTCAGTAATAATGCTATATTATGTGTGAGCATGTGTGTGTTTAAAATATACCTATATATTTATTACAGGATTAATTTGAATACAGAGTGAATGTGCCTAAAGTACCTGACATATGGTGGCCACTTTATTTATGCTTGTAACAGTCTCATATTTTTTTGTGTGTAGCGCATACAATCTTAACACTTAAAAAGCACTTAAATTTAAACCTGAAAGTGGACTTCACTTTAAGCCACTTTGATGCTTGAAATCTGGCTCACTGAATAGTTATGTCATTAGAATTAATAATTTTCTTATATCCCAACCCCAAACAAATCTATAAACAAGACTGTATATTTATAGAAAGTGTATATTTATTTTACCGGTTCTCTGCATTGGTGAGGTTGCCAGTACACTCATTGACCTCTAGAGGGCACTCACAGGGACATTCGCATTCATTTTGTTCCATTCTGAAAAGCAAAGAAAATTACTATGTGGAGGGTCAATAACAACTATATATCATATACATACCAGGGGAAGCAAAATAAAGAGACCTTGAGCTAGGTAAAACGGACAGGAAAAAAGAAGTTATGACCAAAGGCTTAAACACCAGTGGGCCTCAATCCTTTACTCTTTGGACAAGGATGCTGCAAACAACATAGCTCTGTGCTTCTATAACCAGGATTTCCCTCTGTTTCAGGACACCCCAGTACTTTCAGTTTATTTTGCAGATACCACCTCAAGATGACCGGCATCAGTTAAGATATTCAACAGTCAGATAAACAAGTATACAACCCATTGCATTTTTACCGGTGGCAGTTGAGACACAGCCGATCCACCATGCTACACGCACAGAAGGCAAGAGAGTCACACGTCTCATTGACGATGCCGACAAAGGCGTTGGTTCCTGGGATCCTCGCCAGTCTGTACTTAGAACAGTGGCTGCCGTGCACAAGGTTCGTTAAATCCCCCTGCAGACAACAGAGAGGGCAAAGGTGACAGACAACAATGCGAAAATTCAGCACTACCTAGGGGAAAACAACATTTGAGCCATTTGGCTGGAAATGGCTTACACTAAAACTTTATTTCTGATTTCATAAGTAGTATACTGTTACTGCTAAAAACTTGGAAAATAATTTTTCATAAAACCATCACAGATAATTCTTATTTAACAGTTTGGTATTATTATTTATTCTCTTATCTGTATTTATACAGATAATGCTGTTGTAATCTTTCTTTTGAAAATACACAATTTTTCATAAAGTGAAAATAACTGCAAGAAGCAATCAGACAACATTCAGGTAAGGAATAGCTGAAAATTTATTCAGAGGCAAACCTAATCAACCAGAAAACATGTGTTTCCCCATCCTTGGATAACAAATCTCTTTTCTTCCAGAAGAATAAAATTATTTAAAAACCAAAGACATTTTAAGGCCAGTTTCCTGCTTCTAGAATATTTAATGCTCCAACTAAAACAAGCATCCTTTTCCTCATTCTATAAAGAGCAAATGTGATAGCCAGGCTCTTGAAATGCCAAATTGGTCTACCATATTAGGAAATCAAAGATTCAAAAGCAAAATTGTAAAGTTGAATATGGCCATTTTTTCTGCCTATGTGTCATACGTACGCCAATTATTTAATCCCAAGCTTGTTTCCATACCCGCCATCCCCACAGTGAGGATAAGCCTAGCTCTGAGAATGATGGCACTGAATGGATTTTTTGAGGTCTGGAAGAATTTTCCACTTCCTGGAAGATACCCACCTCTACAACATAAACAGTAATATAGGCATATCATGTATTAGCTCCAATATCCAGGAATGCTCCAATTCCATTTTGGAATAACTAGGGTCATTAAGAAGTTATGCTAAATCGTATTCCACTAAAATTTGTGTGTCTGAAAAATTTCTACTGGTGTACTTGGCTTTGTCTGTTGAAGACTCTGGAAGTCATTGTACAACTGATGGAAGATACACCAAATATCACAAAGTCAGCCCTTCATATGACAACCCTACCTGGCAGCCTCCTGACTGCATTTGAGTTTTGTCAATACCCCTTTAAAGAGAGTGTTCCTCATAATGGTATGAAGTTTAAACAGCATAATAATGACTTCCTGTGCTTTGAACAAGCTATTCTATTAATATATTCATTTTTGAAACTCTTCTATTCCCCCAGGCAGTTGTATTTGCAATGACTTTTTTTGAGACTAAGTTTAGGATTTTCAGCTAACCCAACACATCTTTAAAATTGAGTTTTAATTATATACTTAATGATATAAATACCTATTCTAATAAAAAGGTTACTTCTTGTGAATAACTTTCTGAATGCCAGTTCTGTCTTACCCATTTTAGTTCTCAACCAGCTGGGATTATTTACAGATTCATAAAAATATTCTGAAGATCTTTAACCATATCCAGGTAAGTTTGCAGCACCTTAAATCATCCAAAGTATTCTAAGCTACAAAAAATAACTTTTGGATGATTTACGTGAGAGCTCTCATCTGCCTGGGTGGATGACAAAGAACTGACCTAATTTGGCCTTAGAAATTTAAGGAGGCCAAGCGATCTCTAGAAGACAGGAAGAGGAACACATGGTGCCACATATATTTATATAAAAGTGTGGGAACAGACTTCAGCAGACATTCAAAGGGCTTAGATTGGTAAGTCTTAAAATAAACAAAAATCAAAACCATATACCAAGTGTGAGACCTTAAAACAATCAAGTCTCCACTCTGGGCTTTATACTCCACAATTGTGAAAGTCAGGAGCTGGACTAAGGTCCTAGCCTGCCCTATCATTTCCTAATTTTAAGGCAACGAAACAGCCAGGAGTGATATTCAGACATTAGTCATTATTCCATTTCATATTAGTGGGATGAGATACAAGAGTGTCAGGGAACCAACTTACCACAAGACTAGTGTTGAATTTATAAAATCTCTGGACTGTTCTGTCACTGAAGCTGTTGCACAGGTTTTTCTTTACGAAGTTGGGGTGGTTCAGGATATCATTTGCTACCAGGGGCTCCTAACAAGGCCAAGCAGAACAGAAGACATATGCTGTGTGATTAAGGAGCTGCAAGCAGGGAACTATCAGCTTCTATTAGAGAGTTATCAGCTCTACAACAAATACCTTGTGGGTAATATGCTGTTGTTCCACAGGGGCATGTCCTTTGGGGTCAATGAGGGTTGGATGTGCCACCAGATAACCCCTGTCCTCCATGATGAAGCACCTGAACCAAAACAAGTGACATTGTCATCAGTCTTCTAAGCTGTTGTTCTGTGTTTTCAGAGAAGATTTATCTCTCAAGTTCTGAAATAAATTGCAATGACCCCAAATTCTCAATAAATATTTGTTGAAAAGAATGAAGGCTGGCAGGCAGGTAGATAGATACATTATTTTTGAGGTGGTAGGTCACCCAGCATCTAGTTTCAGTTGAAAATTACACCTGACTGAGGTCACCTACATAGTTCATAGAACATGCCCACCTAGCCCACGTAAGATGGACTCAAAGATCTTCTGCAAGAATGTCTAAGCAGTAAGTTTATTCCTTTTCCAGATGAGAGAGACTCTGAAGGAAGTGGCCTTAATTATTCATAGGTGCAAACTTTAAGTAAGCCATAGTTTCTTCTCTTGATCATAAATAAAACTAAAGTACATCAGGGACATATAAAAATATATTAGAAACACTAAATAACAAGTAAATATCAAAATTAAAGCAAATACGAAGTAAAGCTAGAGTCACTCTAACCAAGAATACATGCTGCTCTATTTTACTCTGCATTTGTTGTAACAGTTTGCTGTCAATCTTGCATTTCCCCAGTAAGGGACAAAGCAAAACTTAGCAGTGATAAGAAGTATGAGCCTTGAGATTGAAATAAGAAAGTTATTTTTAAAAGTGGCCTGCGTTAAATCAAGGGAATGCCCTTGCTTTGATCAGACATGTTCTTGTGAGATTCAGGCAGCAAAGACTTTTAGTTCTCTGTGTCTCCTTCTGGGAAAATGTATAACGGAACAGTCTAAACATCTGAAAATCTCACAAAGGCTTTGGTTAAATAACTAAGTTAGCATCAAAAGTACTATCGAAGAGTACTCTCTGGTTCTTCTAGCACCCAAGATACAAGAAACCTCTAATTACTAATTCCTAGAGAAACAAGAGCTTTTGCAGAATTCCATGCCACAGTTACTTTCCTTGTTATGAGCCAAGCCTGTTTGTCTAAATCATAAATAGCATGAACAAAAGCCTTCTTAACAGAACACCCAGGCCAAGGACTAGTATCTGGCCCTGACCATGACATTGTGGCAGCTATTTAACTAGATACCTGACATAATTTTCTTTACATTTTGCAGCTAGATAGGAATTGTGTCCCTGAAGGGCTTACCTTATTTTGTTTCCACCATCCTGGTTACACACCGGTAATAAGTCCATGAGAACCTTGTAGAAGTATCGCAGTGTGAAGTCAATGCCCATCACAGCCACAGTATGCCCAGAAGACAGCTGTGTACTTCATGTGAGAAAGATCAGTGAGAACAAGAGGCATGTCTTATTTAAAGGGAAAAGCTACTTTCAATCATAAGGACATTGTATGGTATCAGCAATCTATGCCTCCTGTTCCTCCACACTTTTCACCCCTGTAAAAAAACAATCAACTAAATGACTGATTTAGCATAACATGGAGATTTGATGAGAGAAAAATTTAAGACTAAAGATAGAACTTTCTATATAAGACCAGCCCAAAGCATGGGCAGCTGTGCAATATGGCTAGTCCTGACTATACAGATGCTCAGACCATGGCTGGACTGTTTCTTGGCAAGAACATGGGGGTGAAGGAAATAGGCATTAAGTGGGAAGTTGGATGCAGAAGTCCTACAGTTTCTTCCAGCCAGGAATCTTCACACAAGGAACCTGAGTGATTCCATTAATTCCTTTCTTCATTTTATAGGTAAGGAAACTGAGATCTCATAAAGGTTAACCAATTAGTATATGGTCACACAAAATTGAGTAAAAACAATGTCTAGTTAGGATCTTCATTTTTTTCTCTCTCTATAATACTAAGGTTGGCTCTACTCAAAAACACAGCTCATATTCTAGAACAAGACTCTCCTGGTTCACAGGCCAGTTCTTTCTCTATTCTAAAATGATACTCTCAAAGGGGAGCAGCAATGTAGATGAAGTCAGGCAGTGCAACACGGCACCCACTTGACCTTTCAGTGAGTCAAGTAGCTCTGGGGTCAAATCCAGGCCCTGTTTGTTTCTATCTATGTGGCTCCTGGGATGCTACTTAACCTTTTTTCTAGGCCTCAATTTTCTTATCTGAAAATGGGGTAATAGTAGTATCTACATCATAAGGCTGTTAATAGAATTAAACGAGATGGTGTGTTTACAGCGCTTAGCAAGGTGCCTAATATCAAAAACACCCAATAAAGATAAATTACTCCAAAGAAAATTAAACAGGGCTTAAAACTCAGATCTGGTCAGATAGTGAACTTATCATTCTTTCAGAGAAACGGTTAAGTATGTCAGAAGCATGTACTTTCACTTGGGACCTAGGTTCTTTTTAATCTCTATTCATGGGCAGCTGGAAGGGCCTGGGTTACTGGCCAGTGAACTTCTGTGCTGCGTGTCTGTGGCTGGGAATTTGCAGGGTTTACCCAATCTGAAAGCCCATCATCACCACCGGTTGCCCACCTGATTTCTTTACAAAGAAAATATCAAAAGAAAAATGATGCTGTTATTGACAAAAACTTTAAAAATAGTAATTGGAAAGCTTCGAAGAAACTTTCCAGGGTAAAATCCTCTTTTGGAAAATCAAAACTTGGAAGTGAAATTAGCTTTGCCATGGAGACAACTGTACCCTTCTAGATGCTGTCAATACTCATACTAATTTTTATCACCCCAGCCCCAGCCCCACCAAGAAAAAACACTAGGAAATGGGACCATGACCCATAATGACATTTCTGTCAGAGCCTTTGCTGTCAAAACTGCGTCTGGCATGGGATGGGCGGGCAGAGCGTGTGGTGGGATCCTCTCTGAGGCTACTGATCGATAGAAGCCTCAACTGTTACCAAGGGAACTAAAATTCTACTAAGGAAGAAACCCAAGACTCAGTTACCTTACATGGGATTTGAGCTTTGTAGCAAATAGTGTTTTGCTCAAGTATTAGCCAAAGGAAGCTTAAACCTCTCTTGCTTGACCAGGAAAGCATGGTGAGTCTACCATCAATCATTATGAAAATAGTAATGGCCTACATTTACTGTATGTTCAAAATTTATAGGGACTCTGGTAGGCATCTGAATACATCATTTTGATTGTTTCTCATAGAAATATTATGAGGCATTATCAATTCCAGAAATCTGAAGCTTGGGAATGTTAGGTATTTGTCCAGTCACACAGGGAATGACTAGTGGAAACAGGAATTTAAACTGTCTTCAGCTCCAAAGCACGTACTCCTCACTTGTAGATTACACTGCCTCCTTAGAGCTGCATGGCACTCAAGAGTTTCCAAGCAATTTTATCCAATCTATTTAATTTCCTCTGAAGACATCAGGAAGGAATCATAATCCCCATTTTGTAAATGAAAAATTAGGCTTAGAATGGTTAAAAGATAAACAAAGATTGATCACCTTTTATTTATGGTATAGACCCCAGTTTTCAAATCTGGCTCTTTCTACTATATTACAGTCTCCTCAGTTTAAAATACAACTCAGGCTTTTTGGGACAAGTTAATTTTGTTTCTAAACTTCCGCTTGGTTGACAGCCATCTGCTCCAATATGATCAACATGCTGAAGTAAAAGCATACACATTACCAACATAAGTCTAGCATTCATATTTTTACCTGCTTTTCAAAAATATACATTGTTACCATAGCAACTCATAAAGAAAGCCACAGAAAAATCAAACCAAGCCTACATTTCTAAGTACAATGGACCAAGCTAAATCACTGACTGTCCTTCATCATTTCTACCAGCATTACCATTCTCCAAAGAGCGCACACCTAGATTCTCAGGCCACTAACAATGCTTTCAGAAGAATCACAGAGCAGTTACACCATGAGTAGCTGATAAGTGAGCACTGAGTTAGAAGAGCTTCTCCACAAGCTATCAGCCAAACCACTTCTGAAAGCCAAGGGTGAATGAGAGTGCTTCATGACAAGCTGAGCACTAGCTCAAATTCTCTTTTCGGACCAATGAAAATGGCAGGAATTTAAAGCATGAGCAGCATGATAATAAAAATAACTGCCATTTATTCGAGACTCAACATGGTCAAGAAGGGTGCTAAGCATTTTACATGCACCATCTCTTATTCTCATTATATCAGTGCAAAACTTGGGCATCATTACCCGTTTTGCCTCTGAAGCTCAGAGAGGTCATAGAACATAATAATAAAAAAAGCATGTAACATTAGCTGAGCCCGTACCATGTGCCAGATACTGTTCTAAGAGCTTCACATTGATTGTTTAATGTAATCCTTAAATAATCATTTGAGATAGGCCCTGATATCCCTCTTTCATAGGTGAGGAAACAAAGGTAAAAAACTTGATAGTCACACCAGCAGTAAATTGCAAATCTACTTTTTCTGAGTGGCATCATATCTTAGGAAGAGGCTGGGTTCTCAATTTGGCACGAGGTCAAACTCACTGGTAATCATTTGAAAAAAGGACCTTTGCAAAGCCCATGTGCCAACACACCCAGTAACGCTATGGTTGTTTTCACTGAGAACCAGAAGTGGTAGTTGACTTACATCCTAAACTATGTCAAATGAAAAACATACGGCTTTTATAATAAAAGCATGCTCAGTTAAGGAAAATGTTCAAATGTTCAAGTCCATGGGACTCTATATTGAGCAAGGCAAGAATGGATACTTATTCCTGGAAAACACTCTCACTGACTAAGTGGTGAACAGAACCAGGATTTAAAGGGCCATTTTTTCACTCTTGTTAAACTCAAAGGGCTAAACTTGCATAGATTAAACACTATAAAAAGTAACCAAATAAAGGAATTGAACCCAGGTTTTTTTTTTTTTTGTTCTTGTTGTTTTACCTTGAAAGCCCATCATATTTCTACCACGCTTCCTTTGGACTGACACCATAAATATTTATAAAGAAACTAAACAAAAATTCTTCCACCCATCTGAATTCTAACAAAAACTTGCATATGTTATATATACGAGAAAGAAAATCTGTACTTCCCAGTGTCAATCCCTTCCTCTCCCAACAAGAACACTGTACTGAAGGAAAAGCTAATGGCACTTGATGAGTAGCAGGTGAGAGACTCCTGATGAAACACTAAAGACTACGACACACAGCAGCCATTCTCTTCCAGCCAACCCGCTTCCCGCCAACATCCTTAAGAGCCCAGTTCTACCTATGTCATTGTCATCAAAGACAAAGGTGGCTGATGTTCCCTTAAAGAAACCACTTTTGTTCTTCTCAACTGAACAGAATATACGGGAGAGATGACAAGTCTCACCACCCAGACAGTTAGTAGGTGTATGCCTCACAGATGGCCTGTTAATGAAAACATCGAAAAGATCTGTTCTAAATGAGTGCTTATTGTTTATACATGACAGAGCCAAACAGATACCATGCCTTGCAAACTAATCAATATTTGGCTGGTGCAGGGCCCTGATTCCATGGAGAAGCAAGGTCATGATACTGAAATACCATGCAGCTCTGACTGCCAATAAACTTGCAGTAGAAGAATTCTACTGAATGTCAATCACTTGATATATAATGAGCACCAGTGAAAAGCACAAAGTTAAGCAAGAGAATATGTCTGCCATTAAGTTTAAGGCATCATTACCAATCAAAACATGGTCTTCTGTGGTTGCTAGGGAAAAACAGCTATTTGTATAATGAAGGGAATAAAACGTGTTTGACTTGTCTCTCCACCCAACATTCCACTGGCATTTGTACCTTAAACACGGAAACCTCAAAAGCCTGTAATGAAAAGCACCCTAAACATAATTTTAGTGATACTGACATCTTATAGCATTTTTGGAAAAAATCAATTTTCAAAACGCCTTTGTGTATTTCAAGAGACATGCAAGGACAAAGCAAAAACAATATAATTCTAAAGAGTCAGATTGAAATATAGGAAGTAATAAATTTGATGTCTTGATCCTTTTTATTCCTTCACTAAAAATGGTCCTTTTCTTGGGAAAACACTCTCTGGCAATGGTAATTGTGAGGCTCTTATTGATATTTTTTCAATTGGTTTAAGACTGGCAGTTACACAAACCACTCTACAGAATCAAATCTCTTTCTTTTCTTTTTTTAATTCACAAGCATAATCATGGCCCTCAAAAACAAGGCTAGGAGCTTTTCATGATCTCATAATCACATGATACTTGTGAGGCAGGTATTATCTGTATTTTATAGATGTAGGGAGGAAGCCCAGTGCATTCAAGATGACATAGCTAGAGAAAATATTCAAGCTTCAGCTTGCCTTACATCAAAGGGTATGTTTTGGTCACTAATCCTTGGTGCCTGCTCTTTTATTCAAATTTCCAAAACATCTTTGATGTGTTTAAGAAATGATAAAAAATTAATTAAAGTATTACCTGGATGAATGAATTGTATGACTGATGGTTACTACATAGCCAGCTCCTCCAACGTCCAAGTAAGGGCCAGTCAAAGAAATAAGACCTGGGTTAGCTACTGCATGGAGATACCTGATGGGGACCAAAGGAAGTGGTGTTATTTTAGGATATGAACAACTCCGTAAATTTCAAAGAAAAGTAAGCTTGTAACTTAAAAAAATATTTATGATAAATTGTGCCTGTTGCTTTAGAATTCAAAAGGATTCTCATCTTTTATGTTTGACTGTAGCATCAACACAAGAGGTCAAGATCATCTGAAATTCCCTTTTTAAGACACACTGAACTCAGTATATATCTGAGCTTTGAGGATCTACAGTATAGATGTTTAGAGGCTAAAATAAAATTAATGAAGTAGAAACAAATATGATTTGGTATATAGAAGTGTGCCCTGGATTGGCATGGCTGGAGGAATGGGCAGGAAAAATAACAGCCAACTCGAGGGATTCAGTTACCAAGCAGCACAAGATGAGACATTCTGTTTTTATGTCCTAGCCCCCAACCTTGCTAACCACCTGACTAGCATTTGTTTTTGAAAACTAGAATAAAAATAAAGCCCAGAAGTAAAAAAAATTGTTCTGATTTTATATGTGCTCATTTCTCAAGGTCATACCCAAGCTGTAATTTGATGCCACAATCATGTGCAGCGTTACAGTAAGGATACCCACTACGGACATGCTGTACACAAGGTAGGAAGCAAAGAAACCACTAGGAATTAGCATGACCTAGCATAAAGCATTTTAGCTTCAAAATTTCAATGAAGAGATGAAAACACTGTAGGGAGAGAAAATCCACCAAGCTGTTGTTAATACTACATTTAAAAAAACCTATTCAACATGTTTCCACTGCCATGAAAGTACCTCCTTTAATGTGACTGCCTCATGTTGCTTTATTGTATGTACTTATCATGTCTCTCCAGGATTTGGGGGGACCCTTTGATAATGGAAGCCCCTAAAAACTCACCATTGTCTCCTAGTGGGATCAAATGCTTTGTCCATGAGAGAACCAGGATAAATTCTGAGGACACCATTGGGCGTTGCTATGTAACGGCGAACAATATAAGTGTTCAGGCTACTCATTTCCATTTGTGTCATCCATTCATCTGTGACGTGGCTGGTAGCCATTACTTCATTTCTGACAGAGAACTGGGAAACAAAGGAAGACATAGCAGGGAACCTTTAAGACTCACATGAAAAGAGAGTGGACTGCTGGCAGAGCTTCCCAAAGCTTTCTTGCAGAGAAGCCAAGCCCGATTGCTTCTTAAAAATCTTTCAGCAGCAGATGGACACAGCCAAACTTGGTGGAAACAAAAGCTTGCTGAAATACAGTCAGTAAATGTGTGATTTACTCAACTGTTCATCCTAGCTAGATTTTCTGCATTCAAGAGGAAAAAAATCTTGTAGTGAAGCATTCCACACACACACACACACACACACACACACACACACAGCTAAATCTCTGCTCCTCCAACTTCATATTTATCTCAGTAGACAGTAGGAGCACTTTACTTCATTCCCCTGGGAAAAATGGGGCTGGGAAAGTTTTACTCATCTCTAAATCATACTCCCCTACCTAGAAAGCCCTTAGTGCACATAAGGCCTGGAAGAGATTCTTCATCTCTTCCCACAGGGCTTCTTACTCCGTCAGAAGGTCCATCCTCCCCTGGGCCACACACTCTGCCTCTCTGGCTCTCTAGCTGAGAGGCACAGATCCAAAGCTGGCTTCCCACTTCAAAGGTGCAGTCACTGACCCCCCGCAGGCCTGTGGAGGGGTACGCCAGCACGGGGCCCAAGCTAGCACTCACTTTGAGCCCTGGGTTAGCAATGAGGCGGGTGTTGTCACTGAGATAGGCTGTGTAGTGTTCCACCATGCGCTTTGTCTCCGGCTGGCTGAGGTGCTCGTAGGGGGAGGAAAAGCTACCAGCAGACAGCATGACGGTTGGACTTTCTGAAAGAGAAGCAAACAGAGCAGCCTGAGAACAGAAACTTCATCTCAGGCTAAACAAATGCATCACTAAGGCTCTGCCAGCTGCGGTGGCTTAAAGTCTCTCCTAAAAAGCAAACAACTCAACACTAGTAGGAGCTAAAAAAAGGGAAAAAGACACACGGTCTCCCTTCAGGGAGCTTATAATCTTAAGTGAGCTAGAAGAGATGTATGTGCAAATAAACACAAGCACCTAAAGTGACCAATGTTTAAAATCTTAGGTCCACATACAATATCTTACACTTATTATGACTGAGAAGGCAGCATATGACATGGAGCCAGATGAGTTGAATCTGGGCTCTACCATTTCCCGGTTGTGTGATGCTGAGCAAGTTGTAACACACACGATGTTTTTATCACCTTGCTTCACTTTCATTATGAACTGATACTTAACTGTCCTCAATGACCCCTCTACATTGTTCTGGGGAGGTTCTACTGCCGAGGTAAAGGTGGTTGGTATGGAGGAAAGAGTGACAGTCAGATACTGGCCTAGGGTCTGTCTGTGTGACCTAGGGTTGGTCCAGGAGGCCTATGTAAAGTACCTGAGATGATAAACTCTGCATTTGCTGAATGTATCTATTACACAGAACTGTCCAACTGAAATAGAATGCAACAAGTAGTGACTCTACAGCATCTTACTACACTGATGGACAGTGACTGTAATGGGGTATGTGGTGGGGACTTGTTAATGGGGGAGTCTAGTAACCACAGTGTTGCTCATGTAATTGTATATTAATGATACCAAAGTTTAAAAATAAATAAATAAATAAAACGAAATACAACACAATCCCCAAATGTAATATAAAATTTTCCAGTAGTCACATTAAGGAAAGTAAAAACGGGATAAATTAACTTTACTAGTATATTTCATGGAATCCAACATATCCCAACATTATCACTTTAACATGTAATCAATACAAAAAATGAAATATTTTACACTTACAGTAAACCTCAATTTAGACTAGCCACATTTCAAGTACTCAATAGCCAGCCATAAATGGCTAGTGGCTACCCTACTGGACAGTGTAGCTCTGAGGGATTACCCAAAAAGAAATGAAAAGTCTAGGCTTGAGCTTTTTTCTCATGCAGAAATGCTGCTGCATTTCACAGTCTCAAATTTCAAAACACCAACCTCATTTTCACCAGCAGTGGTGTTTAGTTTGCCCACACAACACTTAAGAGAATTCTGTACTTCTTGGCTTTTCAGTAAGCATTTCTTAGAAATATGATTTAAAGGGTATACATATTCTTTTGCATAAACCAAAAGACAAAACTCTCAACATCGACATTTAAACAAATACATGCAAAATCCAACCTTTTTGGATTGACGTCTTCAAGTTGCCTACATTGCTGGACTGTGTCACAGAAGAGACTACTCAGTGTGGCCTGATCTCCTGATCTCATATTTGGACAGAAACCCTAGGATGGCATTTCAAAGAGGAACCCAAACATAAGTGCTCTCATTTGGAAGTGAGAGACTGGTGACTTCAACCTTTGAATTCTCTCCCAACCTGTGCCCCTCCATTCAGGTGTCTAATGACTCTTAGCTATTCACCTAAGTATGTTTCAACGGGAAAAAAGAGAATACTGTTTTACAGGACTGTGGGAATACCGTGGTGTATGGACAACATACATGGTGGACACATGGCACAAGGCAGCATACAATGAGAGGCAGGCTCCATGGCACACGAGGGACACAAGTCAAATCTCAGCCATGCTACTTTCTATGTCACCTTGGGAAGATCATGGATTTCTGATAACCCAAAGAGCTTCATCTATAATAGGTCAACTCAGATGATGAATGTAAAATACCTGGTACATAACAAATACAAATTCTCTTTTTCTTCCTTTGAATTAACTGGCTTTTTCTTAAGCTCTTCGGAAGACTGGGACTGTTGCAGACACAGATATGGTATCTAGATATACAGGTATGCTATCCTGGGACCGCTCCCACCATTTCCCCACCTCCTACCCTGTAATCCCGATCCCTATGTCTGTGTGCTTGCCTGTGATGGGCCATACTTGCAACTCTCTTTGACACACTGTTTCTGGGCTACCAAACCTCTTTGCCTACCACTAGCAGAAAGCTGAAAGTGACTAAGGAGTATGTAAGCCTACCTCACTGTCCTGCATCTGGGTAAACTCCTGTGGTGTCATTTACACTGTGAAATCCGCCTACAGGATTAGGCTGAGGCTGGAACTTCATCTAAAATCAAATTCCGGCTTGCTTTCTTTTCTTCCCTGTTTCCCTTGCATCCTTGCTGGTTTCTTCTGAGAGCCCATCCTATCACCAGCACACAGACCCTCGCCTCACAGTCCGCTGGAGAACCCAAGCCGAGGCAAGGCTACTTAAACTCGTCTCATATTTAGATCTCCAAACTGGCACTGTAGGCATTCACCATTAAAAAAAAAATCCCAACTGGTATTTATGATCAGCTGCTGCGAGTAAGCCCACGAAGAAAGCTGAGGAATGCGAGGGTTTACCTAGAGTGGCCAGCTGTTTGAAGTGGAGGCAAGCACTAGGCTGGCCCAGGAGGTCCAGCCGGTGGTACAGCAGCTTGCTGCTGGGGACAGTGTTGAGGTTCTTCAGTTGTTTGACAGGTATTTCCGGTTGTATCACCACAATACAGAGAATAAAGGAAGTGTCTTGTACCTGGAAAAGTCAATAAGGAATTTGCAGGACAGAAAATGAAGGTTCCTGGACACAGTGACTTTTCTATGTTTTTTTCTGCTATCTCCAGTTTCTATCCACATAAACAAGTATTCGATGAAAATGGGGTGATGAAAAATGTCTCTGGTAGAAGATTACATTTTCTATTTTCCTTTCTGATCAAGGGTAATAGATATATAATGTAAGATCATGGTGCTAATGAAGGGATTAGAAAAACAGTCCTTTTGCAACAGCCACACTAGCCCTCTTTTGCTTATTTAAGCTAAGGGATACAAGCTGGAACATGGCATTAGAACACAACCCTTATTTCTGTTTGAGTTTGGATCCATTTGACTATAGATCTTCTTTGACTTATAATGTGGTTGCAGCCTGATAAACCCCTCAAAGTTGAAAATATTCTAAGATTGAAAATGCACTTAATACACCTAACCTACTGAATATCATAGCTTAGCCTAGCCTGCCTTACCATGCTCAGATCATTTACATTAGCCCACAGTTGGGAAAAATCTTCTCACACAAAGCCTTCACAGTTAAGTGTTGACTATCTTACAAAATTTATTGCACACTGTACTGAAGGTGGAAAACAGAATGGCTGTTTGGGTGCAGAATGGTCGTAGGTGTGGCGCTGGTTTGCTCCTGTGACTGCGCGGCTGACAGGAAGCTGCAGCTGTATGCTGCCCAGCACCATCAGACAGTATTGTCCACTTATCGCTAGTGTGGAAAAAGATCAACATTCACAATTTTTAGTATGGTTTCTACAAATGCATCTGCTTTCGCACCATTGTAAAGTTGCGATATCCTAAGTAGAACCATTGTAAGTTAGGGGCCATCTGTAGTTGGTTTTGCAATGAGTGTCCTGGGAAACTGTTTTAAAAGCCAATTGTGAATCTATATACACAGCCCATACAGAATCTGGTTTACTCATTATACTCCTAACACTTTCTCTTTTCCTCGTTGGCCATGACCAGGACGTCAGACTCATGAAAAGTACAGATCCTATGGCTCCCTTGAAAACCCTGCCCGACTTGTCACTTCAGACCAGGGTAGGCAGATGTGCTACAGCTAAGCCTTGTTTGTTAAGCTCACATGCAGAAACAGGAATACTTTCAAACTCACTTTGCTCCTAGAAATGGATACTTGAATGAAATTAGGTGGGAAAAATGTCCATCAAAGAATCAAAAGCCCAGCTGAGCCACTTAGTTCTAGCTCCTTGACTTAAAAATCTGAGAAAGCCAAACTCTGTGTAAATTCACTGTATTAGGAGACAGAGGGGATCTATTTAAATGATTATTTGTAAATAAATGGAAAGAGTGATACCAGCTAAGTCAGACCAAAGGAGCTCAAAGGAGATGATCAAGGAGACTCTTTGAACTGGGCAGATATGAGTTAAGAGTAATTTAGGGTTTATGAGGATTGGTTGCAGAATCTTTTTAAACCCAGGAGAAATCTGCTTCTTCCTGTAATTGTTTTCAAGATTGGCTGCCAAGGATATTCCATTAGATTAGCAAATTTTTACCTTCTTCCTCCACCCACCAAATTATAAAGACACAGGGTGTTCTGTGGTAGCTTTTACTATTTCCCCTTTTCCCATCACACACAGCTGTCCTTTGTTTCCTGTGGTTTGTGTTCCAAGGAACCAAAAGACAAAAACTTCACCAGAATGACCAGCATATAATTTTATATTTGGGTCTATTCTATAAGAAAAAAATAAAAAGTCACCTTCAGTAACTAAAAGCAAAATAATTCTTAGCTGGAAAGGAAAACAGGTCTTTCTGTTGTGTTCTTAGATGAAAAACAGTCTCTCTATTAAGGAACTCTAATGTATCTAGAAGGGCTCTCCATGCCTGGGGAGTGGCGTTTTTCACTGATTGCCAATGGGATTCATGTTTTGAAGTGAGCCACATCTGTTGTAACAGCTTTTTGCAGTCACTACTTAGGCCTTCAGCATACAGCCTCCTCGAATTCTGAGATGCATTTGGGTCACACAGGTGAACAGAGCACTAATCTCTTAACACTAACGTAATTTATTATGCTCTATTTAAATTAATGTGGTGTAATAATCCACAATATCTGTTATATCTATAGATGCTAGGCGTTTAACCAATAATTCTCAACACATAAGCTAAATCTCTTTGGATTACCTTTAGTATAGAAGAATTCATGTTATTCCTGAGAACAAGATGAGTACCTCTTACCTTCCCCTCAAAGTAACTAAAAAGAGCTTAAAAAATATTTGCTCTTATGGCTGGGTAACCAAGCAGGCCTTTTAAACTTCAATCTCATCATTTATTATCTCTTTAATTTTTCACTTACTAGTGATGTTCTTGACAATTTCAGAACTTTGAGAGAGCTAACACCTCTGCCTGAAGTTATTATGTGACTGTATCCCTTCGGCTAAGTAGAGTGGCCAGAATTTACCAGTATCACTGAAGAAAAGCTATCAAAAGAAGACAATACTTCTTTCTAAAATGTTAACATTGGGTTTATGTACTGTTCAGAAAAGGTTTTAAAAATGCCTGTTTCATTCTTTCTCTTTTATAGTCAACAAATATTAAGGTACATATTTTCTCAGGATATAACTGAGTTGCTTTCAATTATTCTGAGTTGCTCCAGGATATACTGCAGGTAAACAATCTCCAATTTCAAGTATAAAAGTATTTTTCAATTCCATATTCTGGTGTGTGGCTTACCCCTTTTGATATGAAAATTAAGCAACTCACCTTCATTTAAAAATTGTATAATGATTAAAATAAGGGCAGATGGTATAATCATTCTCAAAAAAACAAACTCCCCAAAATGAGCTGACACAGACAATTCCTGAACAGGCACTGATCTTCTTCAAATCTGCCTTACCAAACAATAAAATACCAGTAGAATTAGGCTTGTAATTGTAAATTTCTCAAAAGGTTCCCTTCATGATTTTGTTTGCTTTCATTTCCACTGTTGAAGTAAACATTGACATAAAGATGCTTTAAGAACCAAACAAGAAGAGAATTATGTCTAAAGGCAATGTTGCCTGCTTCCAATTCCTATCCCAGACAGACACTGTATTGAATTGTCTGTCTGCATCCACCCTGGGCTGGATGCTCTATGAGGACAGAGCATGTATCATTCTTCATCCTTAGCTCACAGTGCATGTTCAACAAATAGTTCTTCAAGGGATGAATAAATAGATCTATTTGGCATCAACAGGTTCAACGTGGGTACGACCAGGGAAGGGAATCCCAAGTAGGAGTGCATTTTAAACATAGTGATTAAAATTGGGTAATAAAAATGAAAGTCCCCTCTTGGTTTGGTAAATTACAGCATAAAGGGCCCCACTACAGCATTGTTATTCTAGGCTGGGAAGAGGGAGTAAGGGACAGAAACCTAAGTAATGTGGACACTGTATTAGAATCTGTTTCTTTATCATTTTCTGAGGTCTATACTGTCTGACTGAGGTTAGTAAAAGAAAACAGGTGCTGCAAGTTATGGCTACACTGTCAGTCCGCTTGTGGCAAAGATGAATAATCCAAATTCTAATCTGAAAGTTTCTTTTCTTTGAAGAATGTCAGCAGAGGGCATTCATGCTTTCATATCTCCTTTTCAACTCCCTACTTTCACAATCTGAGTTAAAAATGATTGAATAAAACTAACTGGACATAACCTAATGTGTACTAATAGATTAAAAAATTTTGGGGTCTGTCTTTATAATGCAACACTAGATAGCCATGAAAGGTGCACACACATATGCGCCTGTGTGGAAAGAAAACCTTTCTGGAAATTGACTAGAGTGGTTACTTCTGGGGAATGGGAGATCAAAGGCAGGGGGGAAGGAAGGGCATAGTTTATGTTCTACCTTCATATCCTTTTATATGGTTTGCTTTATTCACCATGAACAATGATTGGGTTTACAAACAATGAGGAAGAAAATGGTGAGATATCTGTAGATTCTCTTCTTTTTCCAATCACTTTAAATGGGTAACAACATCAGCAGGCCTAGGTTCCCTAGCACTCCCTCGGAAGAGCCTGCTCCCCGTCGCTCCTCAGGCAGCGTAGCGTTCTCTCACTCACCATCTTCCAGGCGTAGCTCACATTGTACGCCTCCTTTCCCGTTTCTCTCAGCTTGTTTATGTGCCAGGACAGGGATGAGTTCACAGGGACTGTGATAATCTGGCTGCCCAGAGGGAGGCTGTGTTGGCAAACAGAATGAAATACCTCAGGCACAAGATAAAATTAAGCACTTGATTAAAGGCAGGGAAGAGGCTGTGAGTCAGTGACCCCCCCCACCACCGATGTTGAAAAGCAGTGAAGTTCATCACTTTTGAAAGAAATAATGGGAGATTTTCAGTTTTCTGAAAAGCATTATATCAGCTCTGCACTAAAAATATTCCTCGCTCTTTACCCTGCCCCCCAAATTCTAATTCTTTCCAGAGACTAACTCATTTCAAATCACTCAGTCATTAATTTACAACCAATGAGCACAAAGACCCATTTCTCTATAGGTTACCATCTGCCAAAATAATGTATCACGGTTGGAAAAAATCCAATCTCTTCTTTATTTCAAGAGAAAATGTTGTATATGATTGGGCTGTCAAATTGGAATGGACACCACTTTGCCAAGCTGTTTTTTGGCATGCTATAGAGTTGGTCCTCAACTTAACCTTTTCTCTTGTCAACATTTTTCAATTTGGTTTATAACTGGAGTATTTTTTTTAAATGAAATAACACATAATCTGATTTTACAATTATAAGGCAATGTGAACACAGAATTTGATTCCTAAGATGTTTCTCCCCAACAATAGTTTTAAGAGACGTTACCTGTTATGTGAAGTAAACAAAATTTTGGCTACTATTATGGAAAAGAAAAATCACTGATTATACTTTTAATAGCATTATAATAATTTATATACTTGTTTTATCTTATAAAACCTCTCATATGTACCCTCAGCTGGCCCCATTCTCAGAGAAAAACCAAATACTATGACCCTCACCTTTTTCTTACCTTAGGATATTTTGCCGAACCAACTCAAATTTGGGAATGTTTTCATAATGAATGATGTCAGTATGAAGGGGGGGTTCTGATAGTAAATATGGCCTGGTAAGAGATGGATGCATAAGTGTATACCCTGAAATAAGAAAAAACAAAACAAAACACATGCTATGGGAAACATCAGGAAGTACTGATTCTGATAAAACTGCCTATCATAGGTTTGCAATGTGGGATGCCCTGGGATGGCTGCCCAGTTCTCCTCAATATGTAACTCACCAGTGCAATAAAAAAGGAACTTGTTTTATGTGTTCTTGCATAAAACTCTTGAAGTGTAGAGAGATGTCTTAAATTATCGAACATCTGTCTAACCAAGAATATTTCGGAGGTACTGGTCATTTGGTTTTCATTTTCTAAAATGTTCTAGTGTATCACATAAACCTTAATGCCAGTAAATCTAAAGATAACAATATAGACCAAAAACAAGATCCAAAGAATCACATTCTATGTGTCATTCAATCCTCAAGCTTAATTTCCTGATGTCACAAATAACTGTTACCTACCCCTCAACACAACACAGAAACAAATGCATAATTCTGACAGTCATTCTGCCCTCTTTGTGGCGTCACCACACAGGAGCAGCCCTAGTTACACTGTTTTTCTATAAATACTATCATTTTCCTATTTATTTGTTAGTATCAGAATATCTACAGGTTATTTTCTTCTGGTTGCTAAAGAAATCATTCTTTCCTATGACTAATTTTTAGCAGATTACCTTTATCATCTATGAGAAAAGTATAGGAAGCCAAAGAGTCTTGGTAATACGTCACGTCTTCAAGGATATAAGCCAGGTTCACATCTACACCTACAATTCCCAGAAGGAGGTTTCCAAAATAGCAGGGTTTACTCACGGTCATTATCAAACCTGTGGGTTAAAAACAAAGAAATCCAAAGGACAGCAGAGAAGGTGCCAGATAAAGACTGGAGCTGTGCTCTCTCTAGTGAATCATGAAGGCCAGTATCAGCCACCTCAGTTTTGCTAAGAAGAGTTTCCAGTAACCAACCACTGCCTTTACAGACAGCAAAGAGTTAGAAGGTGAGAGAAAGAGAGTCTTTTGGGGGTTCAGGTATCTTGGGTAATTTGAATGGAGGCAATCAGTACATTTCCCATTATTTTTTCACCTAAAAGGACATGGCATTCCAAATCAGTGCAAAACATTAGCAGCACTTCATATACCATTCTGTTTTGCGAAGTGGGGAAGATACAGCTGAATTTGAAAGAGTGCTGGACAGAGAATCTAACAATCTGCGCTCTCTTCCAGCTGTGCCCCTTACGTATTATACATGTGACCAGACTTCTCCGAGCCTTGGTTCCCACATCTGCATAAAGGGCACAGTAGTAACCATTTTACTCATTTCTGGGGGATGATGAAATTATGGATACAGCAATATTTATAAGGTGCTATATTTCATGAATATAGCCAATCAAAAAACAGGAAGGTGAGGAGCAGAAACTAGAATGGTTCAGAATCTTACCTGGCTGCTTAGAACACTGAGCAGCTAATGGAGACACTGTTTACAGAGGAATGTATTTCTAGTCCCTTGAGCCAGGAGTTCACACCCTTTTATGTAAAGGGCCCCATGTATTTTAGGCTTTGTGTGTCATACAGTCTCTGTTGCATATACTTTTTTCTTTCTTTCAAAAAAGGCTTTAAAAATATAGAAACCTTTCTTAGCTCACAGGCCTTACAAACATAACAGGATAATTAGGGAGAGAGAAAAGCAAAGAGGAGGAAAACGTACAGAAGGAGAGGGCATGAAAAGTGCGCCACTGCATGGGCCTGAGCACCAGCCCATCTGGCCGCTCCTCCTACTTTTACTGCTGAATTGCAGTAAGTTGTGCCACATCTCTGAATGAGTCTCTTGGTGGAACGGATGGAGAGCTGAGACAAAATGGTCTCTAGGACCCCTAACAGTTCTACAATCCTATGGCTCTAAGCTCAAAACACAAAAAGATGGATTGTTTTTCTCCATTTTGTTCTTGTGTTTTCTTGCACTTTAACAGCACATTCATGACTCAGCAGCATAGCAGAAAGCCACTCTTCTGTAAACATCCAGGAAAGGGATCTGGGGACTCTTGAAGACTTGAGCAGAGAATGGGCTTAGACAGAGAATCACATGTACCCCTCAAGGTATTATTGAGTTGCTGGGTGATTGCAAAGGTCAATTAAATACAACACCTGGTAGGAGGAAGGGGATATAATACTGAAAAACTGTGAAAAGTTATGCCCAATTATAAGGTAAGTCCTGGGAATGTAATGTACAGCATGGTGACCAAGTTAATACTGTATCGCTGATTCGAAAGTTACAAGAGAGAAGGTCTTAAAAGTTCTTGTCCAAAGAAAAAAAAATTGTTACTGTGAGGTGATGGATGTTAGCTAGGCCTATTGTGGAAATCATTTCACAATATATACATCTATCAAATCATTATGCTAGATACCTAAAACTAATGCAATATTAATTATATCTCAATAAAACAAAGTTACGCAATGGGTGTCAACTTACTATAATTTCAAAAGCATTACTTAAGCAGTGAACATTTAGAACACTGTTTTAAAACATTTTTAAAAAATGGGCATTTGAGATGATCTTAAAAGTACATTTTGGAGGAGTTTCTCCCCTGGTATCCCTGGGTACAGGGTTATATATGTAACAGGAGCAGTACAGTGTGGTCGGCATAGAGACAGGTCCTAATCTGCATGCCACATTTCCCTGGGTTTTCATCTAAGGTTAAAGCCATTTTCATAGAGCAGTAAAGTACAACAGAAATACTAGAGACCACATGCTCACTTCAAATTTCTATTCTCTTCTGGATATGCTGAGAACAAGCCTGAAAAAAGTCTTAATTTTCAATTATCAACTCAGACAAAAGATTCTTCATCCCACTGTGGCCAATAAAGTATGCTGATCTCTTGCTACACTTACTGAAATCCCCAAACACCCTCCTACTTTAACCTGAAACACATAGATCTGCTTGTTTAAATAAGTATGTCCAGTAACTGATATTATAATCTGCACAGGTTTTGAATTAGAGCCATGTAAACATAGGTTTCTCCAGGCTCAGTGCTCCCATGTCACAGAATTAGAGCAGGTGGGCACCCATTAATTCTAAGGGCTGAAAATACAAAGATGAAAAGACACACTCTAGTAGGGAAAGGAACAGACTAGTACACCAATCATTGAAAGGCACTACACAGAATTTACAAAACAGGCCCTGAGGACTAAACTTTGGAAAGCATCAGCCATTGGGGAACCAAAGATTTGCATGTAATTTGATTTAAAGCATTTGGAGGGTAGCTCTCTGGGGGTCATAGGGGTAAGTTTTTAGAAAGGGTTCTTACTCTACCTGATACTACTAATGGTAACAGAATTTGACTGCATAATCCTCCATGCTTGTACTGGATTCAGGTGTCTACATCTGTCTTTGTTCTTCTCACATGGTATTAACATGATTCATTGATCTTTCTCTTATCTGACTTAAATTCTTGTTGAGGGTGGGATGTGTGCCTTACCCATCATTGCCTGACACAACACTTCGCTGACACTTGGTAATGCTGGTTATATGCATAAAAGGTCACCAGTAGTTAAGACTTGACATTTATAAAAGGAAATAATGTTATTTAAGGGTGAGAGTTTCTATTCTATACACATCTATGTGCCCTGCCAGAAATAGGAAAGATAAAGAAAAATTGAGTTGTAGCAGTAGCTACCATATTTCTACCTTATAGAAAGAACATGTGAACCTCATTTCTGGAACATACATTCTCTGTAGGCTTGTTACTTTTCATACACGGGTTTTCTCTGAATTTCTGTATTTGTGAGCCTTCCCAGTTAATGAATATAAAAATAAGATCTCCTGGTGATAATGGCTGGCTGGCTAGTAATTTGCTGCCTCTTCAATCTTCACTGTCCAGGAAGAAGAGAGGGCAAGAGGTGGGAAAAAAAGATAAGCAAGAATATGAGGAGGGAAAGACAAAGGCTGCACTTCTATTGAGCACACACTGTTGGCCAGGCATTATTTTACATATACAGAGCATATGTGTATTAGTGCATTTAATTTTCACAACTGGCTTGAGGAAACTTTATTTTTCCCATTTTACAGACCAAGAAATTTAATCATGTGAAGGCTTAACACTTTACCCACCATCATATTATGGGTAACTTGTAACATCAGGATCATGATGAAAGTAGTAATAATAGCAACAAAAGTTAAAATACATAATAAAACAAGAGCAGTCATTATAGAGAGGTATGTCAGGCACTAATAAAGTTTATAATCATAATAACCTGAAAGATTACTATATGAAAGATGTTATTACATTTTTAACAGATAACCAAATGGGAATTAATGAGATTAAATAGGTTATTAAAACTTAAGTGGTAGAGCAGGATTTGAAATTCTCTCTGATGCCAAGCCTATATTTTAACAATGCCACGTTGCTTTGCCTTTGAAGCTGAATTCTAGGCACTTCTGAGCTTTATTTATCACCTGTTATGCAAAGCGACTCTTCAGTTCCAATTTATGAACTTCTGGATTACTCACAAAGCCTCCCCAGTAGATATACCCATTACATTGACTGAAGCCAGGGCAACGAGGAAGAAGTAGGGCTGGGCATTTCTGCTCTAGAATACAGTGCTAGCTGACTGACAGCAGGCAGCTACACAACCCTCTGACCAGAGAAAGGGATGTCTGTCTACTCCCTTGCCTGCCCAGATCCTCTAATGCTCATATGCAAGTAGTGAACATTTAGAAGTTACTGTATTGGTGGACTCATGTCCACTTCTTTTCCCCTTCCTTTAGTAGGAAGCTTTTTCCAAACTTACCATCTCCCATCTCATCAGAGAAGGGGAGGCTAAAGACAGCTTCGTCAATCATCCGGTTGGGAAGGTTGGTATAGAACCTGCCCACTGTGGTCTCCAGGTTACTCAGCTGGTTCAGCACCATCATGCTGCCCTTAATGACAGGCAAGGCTGTCCGGTCCAACATGCCATACTTCCCTGAGTTCTGTTCAGCTAGATCTCTCAGGAAAGCCAGCTCTTTTAAACCGGTCACCCCATCTGAAATGGAAAGTCGGTGGAAGAGAATGTAAAGCAAAACGGTACATACCCATACAATAACCTTGCCATTTAGATCTGATAAGGGCTTGAATGAGGCCTTGCGATGCCAAAGGGGTCTTTGCAGAGACAAGCTAGACTCAGGACCCAGATACCAGTTCTTGCTAAGGAACAAAGCCTGGGGCGTGATATTTCCTCACACAGTCAAGAGGGTAAAGGATTCTTCAAAAAGCAATGATGAAAAACACATAAGTAAATGAAGGTATCCCATTTAGCAAGGACATATTCTCCCCTAAAAGTTTAATTACAAAATTTAAGTTACTTTTATACATTTAATATTTAAAGCAAAAGTGATGACTATCAAGCCTGCATTAATAGATGAAGTTGTAAGAGTTTTAAAGGATAAAAGTTTACCATTTCATTTCTTACTTCTTTGTCTATTAAACACTTGTCAAAGTCTCATGCAACTAAATGCAAGAATTATGGACTGATTTACTGATGCTTCCAAACCCAGTGTCCTTTAAGCTCATTTTAATTACAAATGTTTTCATGCTTGATATTGTTAGGATAATACTGGATATGATTTATTTAATGTATATTTTTTATGTTTAGAGGATTTAAAAAACTTTGTAAGGTTTAGGCACACTGGGATGTATTGTTCTACAACATCTGTAATTTATAGCACAAAAATAAATTTAATAAACCTTTTTAAAAATTTTGGTTTGCTATTGTTGGAACACAGTCAAAAGGCTTAGTAACTGATCCCATATGGGCACCACTGTAAACAAATTCAAATGATTTCAATTACTACTGAGATTCTACCAATGAGTTTCAAAAAGGCTTTGCCTCATGTTCTTGAACTATTTAGTCATTTAAACAATCTGAAGAGTTCATGGTTCACCTATCCTATGTGACTTTATCATTTCTAAACAGGGAACATATACACTTTTAGCCTCGGAAGTCTATTTCTAAAGTCATGGCAGGATCTAATGGGTAAAATTTCTTTGTGTTTAAATAACCTGGATTCTTACTCCACTCATGCAATGCTAAAGGGAAGTCCCAATCAGATTATTGTTCCCTTTGCTTGATACAGAGTTGAGATACAGGGGAGGGTGAGTGGTACACTACAGAATAAAAGACACCACAGCATGACTTATCTCTGACCTTACATCCTTGACATGCTCACAGAAGTGAATGATAAAAGGAGACAACTCAAGGCAATAAATACATTTCCTGTTTTTGTCACACACTACTTGGCTCTCTCAAAATGTAAAAGAAAAGAAATAATTAGGAGCATCTATGAGGCAAAGAAGAATACTGTGGGATGGATGGTTATTAAAGACTGGGGATCTGACTCTATCATGAAATGTTATGGCGGGATGGCAGCAGGGGTCAGCAGGGGGGCATACTGGTCGGGATGCAGAAGCTCCCATCATCAACACGGTCTCGGTAATACACTTCCCAGCATCCCCTCTCCTGTGTGCTTCTGGGTGTAAGGTGGCCAGAAGTGAAATGTTATGAGATTTGAGAGGTGACGTGAAGGTGGTGAGAAATAGAGAGGGGCCAGAACGTTCCAGTTTGTCCACTCTTCTGTGATCTGCACTCAGTTCTCTTTCCCAGCTGCTGGCTTGCTCACCAAGGGCAACCCCAGGCCCACTCCAGATGTGTCACTGGGAACTCACAGGGGGCGCAGCCACCGAGAGCCACAGCCTCCAGTGGACCTCTACACCAGAGCTCCCAGGCAGTCTTCAATGTTCCTAGCTTCCAGACATCCCTGCGAGCTCCAACCTTTTCACCCTTACCCAGCTGGGTACTGAGCTTAGACTTGTCAACTCCTCTTTTTGGATACTTCCTTTTCCAGTTTCCCCCACAATTGTGGACACCCTGAAAATAAATTCGTTATACCAAAATTCTCCCAGTGGCTCTGTGTCCCTATCTGAAGGCTGACAGGGTAAAAAGGAATGCATCAACCCTAGTGAACAATGCTCAGGATGGTGTTTGGAGGGAGGAACACCGGCAGTGAGGATGTGTGTCTGGCTAGAACAGAGGGAGAAAGAGAAGAGGTAAGGGTGGTTGGAGGGAAATAAACTCTGAGTTAGGGAATGGAGCCTCAGGAGCACAGCAGATATGGGAGGTAGTGGTGGGAAGACTTAGGACCAGTGAAGAGACACGTGGTACACAGAAGCTTCTCTATTCAGTATCTCCCTGAGCCAACCTTCTAATCACTTCCTTTTGTTTCTTTACTCCTGTACTACTGCATTAATTCATCTGCTTTGTCTGTCTGCCTTTCTCACTGGCTTATAACTTTTTGAAGACAGGGCTTTTGTATAATACAGCTCTAAAACTTTAGAGCATTATGTGGTACACTGCAGGCTCAGTAAGTTTTATCTTCCTTCTCTGCTTCCTTTCTCTCATAAGGGAAAGCAGCTAGGCCATAGGTAAAAAAAAAAAAGCAACTGGCCCCCAGACATAACACTGAATGGCCTATGTCCCAGGCGAAAGTAGGCCATCTCTGCCTACCTGGGCTGTGCTCAGCCCTGTGCTCAGAATACAAGGCAGACTAAGGCGTGGTTCATATCTGAGAAATGGAAAGTGGAGGGAAGAGAGGAGAGCATATCACTTCCATGTACTGGGTGACATGCTTAACAAAAGCAAGCTCGACACATAGCAGGATGCAGAACAGAGAAGAGAGAGCTGGTCCTAAACCAGAGTGGGAGAGAAGCAACTCTACCTCTGGGAGATACTGAGACAGGAAATCACATCATCTTTCAGTCACTCACTCCTTCAACTGGTTTTGAGGATGTGTTATTTAACAGGTACCGAGTTAGGAACTTTAAGCCCATCCTACCTTGTTTATTAATCATGGCAACCCTATATAGATTTCATTATTTTCATTTTATAGATGAGACTGCAGCCTAAAGAGAGAGAATAACTTGCTCTAAGCCACATGGCTGATAACTGGAGACTGGAAAGTCAGAATCTCTAGACATCACATCCTGTTTTCTTCCATGGGTGGTTCACAAAACATCTGAAAAAGAGTCATGCTGGTCCAAACACAGCTTCCTAGGTACCACCCAAGAAGGTCTGAATGAAAATCTGAGGGTATTACCTGGGAATCTACATTTAAAAAATAACCTCCAAATATTCCTTAGCACATTAAAATATGAGAACCATTGTCCCTAAAGCCATATGGTTTTGCATGGAAATCTGGAAGTGGACAGCAGAAATAAAAGACCAGAGGCGGGAAGGGCTGCTGGGTCAGGACAGGGCCTCTTAAAAAACAAGAAAACATGGCCGCCCGAACACTGAGGGCAAGGGACCTAAAGCAGCAGCTTTGGGAGAAGAGCAATGCGTTACCAGGTGGGGAGACAAGACATAGCAGAGAGGCTAGAATATTGGGCTGTGGTTGGACTGGAGGACGGTTAGAGAGCAGAAGGGAAAACAATGATTATTTCCTCAGATTTGCCGATTATTAAACCCTTTCACATAGTGTCTGATTTAACAGCAACAAAATCAACCTTAAGGAGTACCTAGCATGAGCCAGAGACCGTGCTGGGTGTTCACTGTACAGGAGGGCTGACTGTACAATCCTGTTGTAGATAATTCTTATCTGCCATGGCATTTCAGGGCATCTACAATGGTCATTCAGTTTCCCTTAGACTTTCCCTCCTCGAGGACCTGCCAGCCCACCTGTCCTGCTCCTTCCCATTTAATGCTGGAGCTTTCATATCCCTGTCTCATCTCCAGTATATAGCTAAGGAAGCTAAGCTGGAGTAAGTAGCAGAAGAGGTTTCAAGTGGGGATTCTTCTAGAGGATTCTGCAGGGAAATATGATATTCACAGTCTTGGTTATACAGGAGAATCTAGGTCAGTACGTTGGCTTCCTGCAGCTTAAATCAATGAGATAAGTCAAAAAACCTCCACACGGTATCAAAATCCAAGAACATGAAGCAGAACCGAAAAAAATGGGAGCTGTACAGAATCCTCTGCAAGACCCCATAACCGGAGAAGTTTTAGAAATGAGCAGTTGGCTAGAGAGAGATGAAGAGAACGGGCCACCCTAGCGCATGCCCTGAATAACGTTAGGTAGAGAAAAATTGGCTTGGGGATGAAGCTGCTTAGTTGCCTCTCTTCCTATTCCCTTCATCAAAGCACACCATTATGTTTCTTTTTTATTTTTTTTGAAGGCAACATGCACTTAGAGAGAACTTTCATCTGAAAGAAAAATCTCGAAACGCTACCCACCGTTCATGAGGGCATAGGTGAGAATCATTACAGAGTTGTTTAGAAAGCTATTTTCCTCACTGATGACACGGAGAGTTGCCTTTTTATCTTCTTCTGAAGAGTCCTTTGATGTAATGCCAGCTGACAGGTAAATTATGACCATGTCTGTATCTAAACAAAAACATACAAATTGAATGTTATATTGGATTCTGGCTGAAGACAGCAGTTCAGTCTCTCTCATTTCCCCCAGACTTTCCTGCCTCAGGGACCTGCCTGACCCACTGCTTTGCTCCTTCCCAATTGATGCTGGGGCTTTCATCTCCCTGCCTCTGCTTCTCTTCCATCCTGCCCTTTGTGGGCAATGAGGCCTCATTTATCCAGTGTCAGGTGAAGAGATGTTCCTAATAAATTCCCCAGATAAAAGAAGGTGATTTCCTGTAGGCACCACAGTTGTGGTAATTTAGCCATCCCAAATGGAAATCTCTCTTGCCTTCTGAAATGGGGGATTCAGAACCCAATTTGTCCTTTCCTCAGTGACTTCACTAAGGAACATACATTTTTAGGGGAACTAGGCTTTTAAATGGTGGCTCTTCCAAGGACTCCTGGGCCATGCAAGGTTACGTGTACCTACATTAAGTAGCTCCAGAAACATTTTTGTTTTTAAAACTCATCAGTGTAGAAGAGCAGTCAAAACATGTCCATAGGAGCCAGGTTGCCTGTGTTGAAATCCCAGCTCCACTACTTAAAAGCTGTGTCTACGTAATTTTAGGCAGATTTCTTAATGTCTTATTTCCTACTACGACTTACTACACAAGCAAGTCTTAAAGCCAATTTTGATGCTTGAATAATTCTCTAAGAAATACTAATTGCAAATTTAAATTGCACTATTAATACTTCAGAAATTAGGAAATGAATGTGGATGCAAAAACAAAAATCCGTAAACTTAGAAATATCCCTGTCTTAAACTACACGTCAGTATTTTTCCAATATTGTGAATACAGTCTTCTAAGTTATTTTGTTAGAACCCTAAACATCTTACATAAGCTTCACTTAAGCTATAAAAAAAACAATACTACTTGACTCCCTAGTGGGGGAAATACAGACAGGCCATAAGGCTGATGTGAAATATGTGACAAACCACTGCCTGGTGCCACATGTGATCCATTCCTGGAAACCTGTAAGACTGACCAAAAAGAGAACCCTTTTGAGTTTCCTTGCTTGGCTTTATGGTTCTGGATAAAATATGTTGTCCCTGAGTGTTGGTTTTAGGGCACAGGCCCATGTATGGAAAGCCAGAAGGCCTGCAGCCTCCTTCAGCATCCATGTATACTTCTTTCCATCCCAACATTAAGTTAGGGGTCTGTGTGCTCCTCTTAAAAGCATCCACTCTACTTTATTACTTCTGTTCCCTCCACAATTATTTAGCATCTACTGTGCACCTAGCCTATTTTAAGGGCATGGGGTGGTGTTAGTCTACTGAGTAAGCCTTGTTCTGTAGGATTGTGGTAAGGATTGGTCTGTGCATGGAACCAAAGTGTCTACCCCAAATTAGTAGCCATGTGAACAGAAACTCTATGTCTTAAGTCATGGCTTTGCACTAATACAGTATCTAAAACTTTTATCCAGCTCTGTTTCTTTTTCAGTCCTGTGTAACACTCTGTAAGCATCCTCACTGTCTCTGCCCAGCTCCTGACTCCATCCTGTGCTCAAACAAAACTGAGTTGGTTTTTTATTTTCAGATATCAGATTCTGCCAAATTTGGTCTGGTTCATTATGTTTTACTGAGTAGGATATTCCCTCTCTAGTCACTTGGAGGAACCCTAAGCCTTGTGATTGGTAATACTGGTGATGAGTAATCATAGGGACTGGGGGCACAGCATATAAAAGACATAGCTCTAAGTGCAAGGACATAGCATACACCTGGAAGAAAATGCAATAGACTCTCCATTTAACAAGTTCCCTGTGTTAAGACACCTGTGTTTCTGGGGTCAATATCAAAAGGGGAAGAGCAACTCAAATCTGGGCTCTGCCTATGCCATTAGATCCCCACTCGTGATCATCCTATTCCTTCAGCTATACGATGACGCACCAACTAATCACCCCAAACCAACTAGAACAAACAACCCAAACGTGTCAATGGTATGTTATAGATCTACCATGGGACTGAAAAAGAAACAGAACTGGATAAAAGTTTTAGATATTGTATTAGTGCAAAGCAAATTAGTATACAGCCATGACTTAAGACATAGAGTTTTTGTTCACATGGCTACTAATTTGGGGTAGACACTTTGGTTCCATGCACAGACTAATCCTTACCACAATCCTGCAGAACAAGTCTTACTCAATAGAATAACCCCACCCAATGGCCTTAAAATGGGTGCACGGTAGATGTTAAATAATTGTGGAGGGAACAGAAGTAATGAAGTAGAGTGGATGCTTTTAAGAGGAGCACACAGACCCCGCACTGTAGGGTAGCCAAGACTGATTAGTGGTCCTTGGCCATCTCAGGACTTGGGGTCAACTTTGGATGTCTGGGGTATCTTCTCTAGCATAGCTGAGGCTAAGAGTCTTGAAGGGAACCAAATTATCATAATAACCACAGCTAATGTTTATTTAATATTTTTGATGGAATCCTGTATCTTATCACCTCCCCCATTTGCAGATGAGGAAACAGTGCCTGGAGAAATCAATAACTTATACAAGTTTACAAGTTTAGAAAAATCTCATGGTAGGAATTTGAACCCACACTGGTTGAAATCGAAAACCCTCATGCTTAACCACTATGTTATATTGCTTAGGAGCACCTTGAACCTTTCCTTAATAAACAGGAGAATGTTAATTCCTGACATGTCTCTTTATGTAATCTAATTTGGGTTCTTTCTTGGGTAAAGTGGAAGCCTATGAGCTAAACCTTAGAACCGTCTTACTTGGCCTAAAAACACTCCTCTAAGCATTTGAAAAACAGTGCCATCAAGTTTGTGATGGTTACTCTTCCTGCTGTGTTTTTCTTTTTTTTTTGGTATCATTAATCTACAATTACATGAGGAACATTATGTTTACTAGACTCCTCCCTTCACCAAGTTCCCCCCACATACCCCATTACAGTCACTGTCCATCAGCGTAGTAAGATTCTGTAGAATCACTACTTGTCTTCGTGTTGCACAGCCCTCTCCGTGCCTCCCACCACATTACACATGCTAATCGTAATGTCCCCTTTCTTCCCCTCCCCCACCATCCTTCCCTTCCCACCCATCCTCCCCAGTCCCTTTCCCTTTGGTAACTGTTAGTCCATTCTTGGGTTCTGTGATTCTGCTACTGTTTTGTTCCTTCAGTTTTTTCTTTTTTCTTATACTCCACAGATGAGTAAAATCATTTGGTACTTGTCTTTCTCCACCTGGCTTATTTCACTGAGCATAATACCCTCTAGCTCCATCTATGTTGTTGCAAAATGGATTGTTTTCTTCTGATGGCTGAATAATATTCCATTGTGTATATGTACCACATCTTCTTTATCCATTCATCTACTGATGGACATTTAGGTTACTTCCATTTCTTGGCTATTGTAAGTAGCGCTGCGATAAACATAGGGGCGCATATGCTTTTTCAAACTGGGCTGCTGCATTCTTAGGGTAAATTCCTAGAAATGGAATTCCTGGGTCAAATGGTATTTCTATTTTGAGCTTTTTGAGGAACCTCCATACTGCTTTCCACAATGGTTGAACTAATTTACATTCCCACCAGCAGTATAGGAGGATTCCCCTTTCTCCACAACCTCACCAACATTTGCTGTTGTTTGTCTTTTGGATGGTGGCGATCCTTACTGGTATGAGGTGGTTTCTCATCGTGGTTTTAATTTGCATTTCTCTGATGACTAGCAATGTGGAGCATCTTTTCATGTGCCTGTTGGCCATCTGAATTGCTTCTTTGAAGAACTGTCTGTTCAGCTCCTCTGATCATTTTTTAATTGATTATTTGCTTTTTGTTTGTTGAGGTGTGTGAGCTCTTTATATATTTTGGATATTAACTGTTTATCGGATCTGTCATTTATGAATATATTCTCCCATACTGTAGGATACCTTTTTGTTCTTTTGATGGTGTCCTTTGCTGTACAGAAGTTTTTCAGCTTGATATAGTCCCACTTGTTCATTTTTGCTTTTGTTTCCCTTGCCTGGGGAGATATGTCCATGAAGAAGTCGCTCATGTTTATGTCCAAGAGATTTTTGACTATGTTTTTTTCCAAGTGTTATGGTTTCATGACTTACATTCAGGTCTTTGATCCATTTCGAATTTACTTTTGTGTATGGGGTTAGACAATGATCCAGTTTCATTCTCTTACATGTAGCTGTCCAGTTTTGCCAACACCAGCTCTTGAAGAGGCTGTCATTTCCCCATTGTATGTCCATGGCTCCTTTATCATATATTAATTGACCATATATGTTTGGGTTAATGTCTGGAGTCTCTATTCTGTTCCACTGGTCTGTGGCTCTGTTCTTGTGCCAATACCAAATTGTCTTGATTACTGTGGCTTTGTAGTAGAGCTTGAAGTTGGAGAGCGAGATCCCCCAACTTTATTTTTCCTTCTCAGGATTGCTTTGGCTATTCGGGCTCTTTGGTGGTTCCATATGAATTTTTTAACTATTTGTTCCAGTTCATTGAAGAATGCTGTTGGTAATTTAACAGGGATTGCATTGCATCTGTAGATTGCTTTAGGCAGGATGGCCATTTTGACAATATTAATTCTTCTTAGCTAAGAGCATAGGATGAGTTTCCATTTGTTAGTGTCCTCTTTAATTTCTCTTAAGAGTGTCATGTAGTTTTCAGGGTATAGGTCTTTCACCTCCTTGGTTAGGTTTATTCCTAGGTATTTTATTCTTTTTGATGCTATTGTGAATGCAACTGTTTTCCTGATTTCTCCTTCTGCTAGTTCATTGCTGGTGTATAGGAAAACAACAGATTTCTGTGTATTAATTTTGTATCCTGCCACTTTGCTGAATTCCAGTATTAGTTGTAGTAGTTTTGGAGTGGAGTCTTTAGGGTTTTTTTATGTACAGTATCATGTCATCTGCAAATAGTGACAGTTTGACTTCTTCTTTACCAATCTGGATTCCTTGTATGTCTTTGTTTTGTCTGATTGCCATGGCTAGGACCTCCAGTACTATGTTGAATAACAGTGGGGAGAGTGGGCATCCCTCTCTTGTTCCCGATCTCAGAGAAAAAGCTTTCAGCTTCTTGCTGTTAAGTATGATGTTGGCGGTGGGTTTATCATATATGGCCTTTATTATGTTGAGGTACTTGCCCTCTATACCCATTTTGTTGAGAGTTTTTATCAAGAATGGATGTTGCATTTTGTTGAATGCTTTTTCAGCATATGATCATGTGATTTTTGTCCTTCTTTTTGTTGATGTGGTGGATGATGTTGATGGATTTTCGAATGTTGTACCATCCTTGCATTCCTGAGATGAATCCCACTTGATCATGGTGTATGATCTTCTTGATATATTTTTGAATTAGGTTTGCTAATATTTTGTTGGGTATTTTTACATCTATGTTCATCAGGGATATTGGTCTGTAATTTTCTTTTTTGGTGGGGTCTATGCCTGGTTTTGGTATTAGGGTGATGCTGGCTTCATAGAATGAGTCTGGAAGTATTCCCTCTTCTATTTTTGGAAAACTTTAAGGAGAATGGGTATTATATCTTCTCTGCATATCTGATAAAATTCTGCAGTAAATCCATCTGGACCAGGGGTTTTGTTCTTGGGTAGTTTTTGATTACCGCTTCAATTTTGTTGCTGGTAATTGGTCTGTTTAGATATTCTGTTTCTTCCTTGGTCAATCTTGGAAGGTTGTATTTGTGTAGGAAGTTGTCCAGTTCTTCTAGGTTTTCCAGCTTGTTAGCATATAGCTTCTCATAGTATTCTATAATGATTCTTTGTATTTCTGTGGGGTCCTTCATGATGTTTCCTTTCTTGTTTCTGATTCTGTTGATGTGTGTTGATTCTCTTTTTCTCTTAATAAGTCTGGCTAGCGATTTATCTATTTTGTTTATTTTCTCAAAGAACCAGCTCCTGGTCTCATTGACTTTTTCTCTTGTTTTATTCTTCTCAATTTTATTTATTTCTTCTCTAATCTTTATTATGTCCCTCCTTCTGCTGACTTTAGGCCTCATTTGTTCTTCTTTTTCCAATTTCAATAATTGTGACTTTAGACTATTCATTTGGGATTGTTATTCCTTCTTTAAATAGGCCTGGATTGCTATATACTTTCCTCTTAGAACTGCTTTTGCTGTGTCCCACAGAAGTTGGGGCTTTGTGCTGTTTTTGTCATTTGTCTCCATATGTTGCTTGATCTTTATTTTAATTTGGTCATTGATCCGTTGATTATTTAGGAGCATGTTGTTAAGCCTCCATGTGTTTGTGAGCCTTTTTGCTTTCTTTGTACAATTTATTTCTAGTTTTATACCTTTGTGGTGTGAGAAGTTGTTTGGTAGTATTTCAATCTTTTTGAATTTAGTGAGGCTTCCTGCTGTGTTTTTATTTGCCAACATTAAGAAAAACAAACAAAAAAAGGCTTCCCATCAAAGCAGCCTTCTGCTAGTGTGCAGTGCAGGGAAGTTTGCAAGAAGAGGTTTAGTGAGGTCTCTATTCACAGTTTTAAAGCTGGAACAAACTTCATTTGAAAATCAAGGGGTTTCACATAAAAATCCAGATTTCTGGCTTCTCTTCAAACAGAAGACCTGACAACACTAGGCCAGCACACCAGAGGCTGAACAGAAGGGCAGCTGCCTTGCTGATGGAGCCTGTGTTCTCTAGCTTACTATGGTCTCCAAATAAACTTCATTACCATAGCTCAGATTCACTTGACTCACACTCACAGCCTGGCCACTGCCAGTCTAACATTTCTCAGTCAAAACTGGACTTAAACTCTAAAGATGGATTGATGACTGAAGAATCAAGTAGAAAGAGCACTAGTGGTGAGGAATGCTGATGGGCAGACAGGCACGAGCTGCTAAATGGCACTGACCAACTAGCCAGTCTGTCTTCAATACCTGAGAGGCCAATCTTGTGCACTGGCCTCACTGAATCCCTGGCAAGTTTACACTCAGTCATCCTGTAATGTTGGTCTGCAAGTCTGGTAGGCAAAATTTTAAGATGACCCTCATGGCCCACATTCTTGCATAATCCCCTACTCTTGAGTGTGGTTGTGAGCAAAAATTTGCTTCGGCAAAGGTGATGGGTATCACTTCTGTGATTGTGTTACATATAAAGCAAAGATGCAGGGACTCGGCAGTCTCTAGTAAGTTAATCAGAAGGGAGAGCAGTCTGCTCAAATCAGAGCGATTTGGGTCTGCTGGATCAGATGAGTGCTTTAAAAGAGGGTCCAAGCCTTCTCTGAAGTCAGAGCCTTGAAGAAGGAATGCTCTCCTGCTGGCCCTGAAGATGTAAATGGATGGAAATAGTTGCAAGGACTAGTTTACTTGCAAGGAGATGAATTCTACTAACAAGTGATGGCTTGCAAGAGGACTCCAAATCTCAGAGACCACACACCTGGCTTGTGCAATCCTAAACAGAGAACCTGGTTAAGCTGCACATAGACTTCTGACCCACGGAAACTATGAGACGAGCTTATATTGTTTCAAGCTGCTGTTAGGTTTGTGGCAATTTGTTATTCAGAAACAGAAAACTAATAATACATCATCTATTATCATTAGTTATAATAATTACAGTAGCTTCCATCTTTCATGTGTCCACTATGTGTCAGGTACTTTGCTTTGCATTTATCAATGCTCTCTTCATTTTCATGCAGATACACTGAAGAACTTGAGAATATATTCTTTAAATTCACCTCAACAGGATAGATACATGCATTAAAAAAAACCCTACAAATAGATTTTCGAACACAAAAGAGAAAATGACATAGATTCCTTTCAGTAGTTTCAAAGCACGTGTCTCACTTCAAATATCCTTTCCTTTAGCACGCATCCTAATTCCAGATTTCCTTTAATACATGAAAATTAAATTAGAGTGCCTTTGTACATTTGAAGGCCTGTGCTCATCTAAATGACAGCTGTTTCGAAGAGGGAAGGATCAAGGCCAAGAATTCCTGATGCCCGCTTACGTGTACCCATGCCCAGGCAGCCTTCAGACATCCTCTCTAAATCAATGAGGGTAAGAGGATGACAATTAGCATTAAAAAGGATGTGGATATTCCCCTGGGAAATAAACGGGGCTATGTTCTTAATAAAGGGGCAGGAAGAAGAGGCTCTGGGAGTGAAGAAGGAATGCCTTGGTTGGAAAAGATGAAGAAATCTAGGAAGATCCTAGTATCAGATGATCACTATGATAACACATAAAAATTTTATACCAAGTCAACTTAAAAAAAAAATCTCTACAATATATTCCTACTGCCACTCTTTACCTCTCAGTTCATAAATCCTGAGAGTGCACTTACTTGCTTGGAACTTTGTGTTATTGTTTGTGCTTCGAATCAGCTGAAATGCCTTCTGAAACCCTACTGCGTGCTGGGTAGGACTGTCCAAAGACTTGATGCTGCTAACGAAGGTGGACATTTTCCTTTTTGTCTCACTGGTGGCTGGAGACAGGAATGTCTTGTAACACTGGTCGAGTGAGCAAGTCCTGACGGTGTCTGCCACAGTCAGTACAGAGATCTGAAGGAGAGAAAGAAAAAGTTTATAAAGGTTATTTTATATTCCAGAAGAGTCCAAGGAGTGAGAAGGCCTATACAATGGTTTCTGAGAGTTTAAAAATAAATGCCTGGAGGCAAAAAATGTACAAAATTTGAAAAAGATTAGTTAAGGATTGGTAAGTGTGTGTGTGTGTGTGTGAGGGCACTCTAGAGTTTGGTGTTTGTTCCAAGATGAAGTCAGCAGTATGGTCTTCATATGTAACATTTTAAATAAGTATTTCATGCAGAGAAAAATCTTAGCAAGTACTCATCAACCTGGTTTTCCAAGTGGAGGTAGGGGTGACGGTGAAGGCATTGGGTATGCATTTTAAGCAAGTAGATTAGTGAGTAAAACCTTAGGAAAGTCAAAATGATGAAGCAGAAAATGTTCACAGGCAATAGATTATCATAAACTGTAAGCACACCTGTCTCTGACGTGTCCTAGAGATTAATCTCTAGAAAGCTTCCCTTCTCCCTTACCATCAATCTTAAGATAAGTCCAGCTATCCACCAGTGTCCAAGCCCTTGCCCTTTTCCTCCTTGGCATAACCTGAAGCGTGAAAGTCACAGCTAATTGGAAGTCTTAACAGGAGCCATAAAGGAAGTACAAGACTTGGCTTGGTGGGGGTGGTTTTAAGAGATTGGAACCACAGTTGGGAGCTGCTTCCTCAAATACTAAAATAAAAACTAAACTACTCCCTTTCCCTGAAGTCATTTTAAAGATGGATTAAAAAATGTATCTCATGTAACATAAAATAAATTTTAAAGGCATTCAAGGAAGACCCAATGCCATGGGGGTCACTGGGGTAATAGTCACCTTATCGTGTTCATCGATGGCGCTGAGGATGACCTGGGCAGCATCCTTGGCAATCTGAAGCTGGGTGTCCGTGACAGAAGCCCCGTGGTCCAGGATCACTACAATGTGCTTTGACTGTGGCCGGACTGTAGAGACGTAGATAGGCCTACAAAGGGGAGAAGCTCTCTGGGGTCAGTCATGGTTTGGATGAAAAGTCTCAACCTAGCACAGCTGTGAACACTACAGATTTCAGACATGTCAGGACCTATGTATTTTCCCAGGGATGCACAAGGATGGTGAGAGCAGCGAGGAAGGAGAAACTATATGGGTGCATTGAAAACACAATCTCAAGACAACAATGTGTGGCCGCTGGACAGGGACTGGTAACTTAGGTCTTCTAAAGATGAAAGCAACCGGGAGACGAGCTGAAGCAAATCCTCTGGGAGGCTGGCTTTTCCAGCACTTGATAGTCAGTCCTCTCACCTGTGTGTGGTGAGGCTACTCACTGTTAACTAATGTTCTGCTATAGGAAACGGAACTGGGGGCCTCTTGGGCTGCAGAGACAGCAAAAAAGGGAGAAAATGTCCACCTGCCAGTGCTGGGCCCTCCTTTGCAGACTTAGAGTGGCACTTTGCTCAAACTGAGGCAGCCTATCGTCTGTGAGCATGCTGAGTGGCTTTTGAATAGCAGGTTTGGTTTCTCTCTCCCCAGACAAAGGCTGCTGGTAAAAGGGCCCTTTCCCTTCTGTACTGAAGCAATTCACACAGGTCAGCCACCAAAAGGCCCCTTATCTTAGCATTTAAAACCATGCCATCAAATTTGCCCAAGCCTGTGATAGCCACTCTTCTTGCCAGGGTTTTGTTTGCCAACACTAAGAAAAGGGGGTGGGGGTGTGGGGGAGCTCCAGAGGAGAAATGCCTCCCATCAAAGCAGCCTCTGCTAATGTGCAGTATAGGAAGGTTTGTGAGAAGAGGTTTAATGAGGTCTCTATTCACAGTTTTAAAGCTGGAACAAATTAGGAGAAGCTTAAGGAAGCAAATCAGCCTCAAGAGAATTCTTTCCTTTATTGACACCCTAAAACACTAGGTTTTCCTGTGAAATGTTAGATGCCAGTAGAGTCCCAAAAGCCTGGAAACAAATTAAAAAATATAGGCAAAATACTAAAAAAAAATCCAAAGCTTGGCCAAGTTTACATTAATTGTTTTCAAGCCAAAAATCCTACATTAATCCTAAAGTACCACTGTATTCTTGCTAGTTGATACCATTGAGCCTGAAGGAAATGGGATAAAAAGATGCCAGCAGAGGGAGAGCAAAAAAGAAGGAAATCTGACTACTCTGACAACCATGTCAAATTTTGAACTTTTTGGGTCCTCCAAGCTAGGTGAGTGATTTTTTTCTATAAATGATGTATCGCCTTTCCAGCTGAACGTACATAAATCAAAAAGCAGAATATGTATTCACATTATCACCAGTAAGTTAAAGAAACCCTGCTTTTGTGGAATACATCAATAGTAACATTTAACGTGCAGTCTGGGAGGTGGTCTACATGGCATGATTGGAATTCACCAGTTCCTTTCTCCTGTGCTCTGAAAACCCACTCTACACTTCAAAGGATGTAGAGAACTTGCAAAGGCTTCAGAGGAAAGCAGGACAAATAAAGAGATGGTAATAGCAATCTATAAGGAAAAGACTGGATAACTTAGCCAAGGGAAGTGAGGCTGCAGGACGTGTAATGCATATTTATGGTGGAGGTGCATGAAACCTTCTAAGAGTAGGGGAGTTTTGATTTGTGACAAGGTTCTGCCTTTCCTTTTGGACTATCCCTCATAATAAAAGCAGCATGCCCTCTAATTTGTCTTCTTACAAGTCAATGAGATCTAGGTGGTTCATGGAGTCTTTGGCCTCTCCTGAGAGATGAGCCTGACTAGAACCCAAAGTCATGGCTTCTGGTCCAGTTTTCAAGACACTCAAGTCTTCACCTGGATGTCTAGGGAAGGAATGGAAGACACCAAATAAATGACACAGATTTCTTTCTATGGAAAGCACAGAACCAGTTTTTCCTTAGGGAAAATTTTAGGTACAATTTAAAGTAAAGGTGTTGAGAAGTGAAACTGACAGTTAATTTAGACTCCAAAAAATGGCATGAAAAGTGGGCATCTTGCACTAGCTGCAGAAGTTCTGGCATCAAACATCTGACAATGCAAATGAGAAACTGTGGGGATTCAAAAGAAAAGTATCTTTGCCTAAGGGGTTCTGTAAATTGATGAGTCTTGTCATACAAATTATCAAACCATTGCTGCCCTTCTGGCTAAGCAGTACAATCTCCAGTCATTTCCATGAGAAAAACAGGATATTAAAATCTTTAATCCAATGTGTTCTGGACAACCTTAAAACTTCTAGTAGCTAAGATCTGCATGTACATTTTACCAGGATGGCCAAGCACATTAACATAGAAAGGAAAGCTGAGAATCACAAACTACTCTGAGATATGTTATAAAGTCTATCTGTTCTAAGGCTGCCCTTTAGAGAAGATTTTATCATTTATGTCTCACCAAAGATGCCTGAAGCTCAAAATAGTTTGGGTGCTTCAATTCAATTTCTTTAGTAAATATCCTATTTTATTTGGCTTGTTATAGAAAAGCACTGGGCTTTCTCATTAACCCTTCTCTAGCATTTCTACATCCACATATTTCATTGGTGAAATCATTTCAGAATAAGTTTCTGAAACCACAGCTTGGGGGCAGAGCCATGCATGTGAATGAGGAGTCTACATTTCATACAGATCACTCTTTAAACTATAATTAAAACTTTAGCAAGCAAGTTAACGTACCTACTACGATGCTCATAACTGCCCTTACACCGGAACTTGTGTGCTGGGAAAACAGTGAATATTCCTTCTTCTGAACTGAAGTATTGCCACTTAATTCCAGGGTTGGATTTCAGGTTGTCTGCAAGAACTGGAGGAGTGGGAAAAATGAAATATAACCACTGAATTCACAGGTGCATGCAGGCACTGCTCCTCAGGCATCTGTTTTACATAAAATGCTTGTAGTATAAAGAAATCCCACTAGATATAAGGCTGTAAATTTTCTACTACACATTTTATTTCTGTCCCTTAAAGATACCCCATGAACTGAAAATGTAATGTTTCAGTTAAGTGAAGGTATTATTCTTAACATTATACAGTGACACTATATGTCCTGCATTACTTTTCCAGCATGAATGATTCATTTGCACTAGTCCCTCCCCTCCCTGGGCTGGTCCCTGTTGTACCACAATATACTTGCTGGCTTGTGGTACATTCTTTAATGGTGGAAAACAGGAACATTAATAGGGCTAGTCTCCAGAAAGGCTAGAGCTGTGACCTTGACCTTGTTCACTCCATGTTAAGGGAAATAGCACAGATAGTACTTGAAAGGCCAGAGCCATTACCATTCAGTAATTACTTATGGAAGAATTCCAGAGTGCCAGCGCTAGGATAGATTTTTCCTTTATGTTATCTCATTTAATCCATAAAACAACCATAAAATGAGGGTAGTATATATAATTATTACATACTTTGCAGTTGAGAAAATATGCTTAAGAAAGCTTAAGTGATTTGTCTAAAGTCTCAACAGTAAATGTCTGAGTTGGAATTCAAGCCTGAGTGTCCTGGCTCCTTTACATCATGTGGTATTGCCTCCCTTTCTATGTATACTGCATTCCACCCATAAACTTGCAGTTGGAGTGACAGCCATATTAGTGTGTGCAATCCTGTCCCCAAACCTCCATGTCTTTTTCACTCTCTTCTATGGAGTTCTCTCCCTTCTCTGGTGCCTTTTCGCTCTGTTCCATGCCAACCAAATAATGTGTTATACACTTAATGTGTGTAAGGTTCTGCTTTACATGCTGCAAGATATACAAAGATGGGCAAAAAGCAAGCCCTACTGTAATAACCAATATGTCAGAAAAAGTATACAGAGAGAAGTGGAGCAGAAAGCAATTCAATGGAAGGGGGAGTCTGAGTAAAGGTAAAAAGCAAAAAACATGGGAAACATTTGACAAATATATATATAAAGTTCTGAATGCCATGAGGCCATCCTTTAGTCTGGTTCAGAAGTTGGCAAACTTCTGTAAAGAGCCACACAGTAAGTGATTCTGGCTCTATAGACAATATGGCCTCGGTTGTAACTATCCAATTCTGTCTTTGTGGTAGCCACAGATATCCATAAATGCATGTGTGGGTGCATGCCAATATCAGTTTATTTACAAACATCAGTGCCAAGCTGGATTTAGTAAACTTTAGTTCTTCAACTTTACTGTGGGTCCCCCAGGCACACTGTGTAAAATGTACTACACAGGGAAGACTTAAATCATGTTTGGTGCTTCATGCCTTCAGCAACTACTCCACCCAACAAACACCAAGCAGCTGTAGCACATTTTATCCTCACAAAAATCAGTAAGTAAACAGTGGTTTTGAATGATACATTAGACCAAATGGACCTAATAGAAGTATACAGAACATTACATTGCAGAACAGTAGAACACTCATTCTTTTTAAGTGCACATGAAACATTCTCCAGGGTAGATCACATGCTGGGCCACAAAACAAGTCTTAATAAATTTAGGAAGACTGAAATCACACTAAGCATCTTTTGTGACCACAACAGTATGAAACTGGAGATTAATTACAGGAAAAGAGAACTGGAAAAACACACAAACATGTGGAATCTAAAGAGCATGCTGCTAATCATTAATAGGGCTAGTCTCCAGAAAGGCTAGAGCTGTGACCTTGACCTTGTTCACTCCATGTTAAGGGAAATAGCACAGATAGTACTTGAAAGGCCAGAGCCATTACCATTCAGTAATTACTTATGGAAGAATTTCAGAGTGCCAGCGCTAGGATAGATTTTTCCTTTATGTTATCTCATTTAATCCATAAAACAACCATAAAATGAGGGTAGTATATATAATTATTACATACTTTGCAGTTGAGAAAATATGCTTAAGAAAGCTTAAGTGATTTGTCTAAAGTCTCAACAGTAAATGTCTGAGTTGGAATTCAAGCCTGAGTGTCCTGGCTCCTTTACATCATGTGGTATTGCCTCCCTTTCTATGTATACTGCATTCCACCCATAAACTTGCAGTTGGAGTGACAGCCATATTAGTGTGTGCAATCCTGTCCCC